TTACTAATTTTTTTGTCGTTCTGGGCCTGCCGCTTTTTGGGTTTTGAATTCTGTTCAGAACTTGAACTAGAACTTGTTTCTGTACATAGATCATGTTGAACAATCTCGAAACCATCGAATTCCTCTGAGCTTTTTAGTTCTGTACTTAATTGTTTCTTCTCAATTGTTTCTTCCTTCTTGACCTTCTGCTTCTGGGATTTTGGTTCTTCAAAAACAGGATTTAGTTCTCCTGTGCTCAGATCATATTCAATTTTAAGATTAGTTGAAAGACTGGGCAACTTGGAATTCAACCTTTCAATCATTTTTTCAAGGTCCGCAATTGTGAGTGCTTTAGACTCCTTCGTTGATTCATCAGAATCTCCAGATGTGTTGATACTTGAGGATGTTGCGGTTGAGTGCTTACGAAAAGATTCATTTGAATCCTTTGCCCCTTTATTTACTTTTTTTGCAGCTACTCGTTCTTCATACAGTTGTTCGAGACGTTCCACTACATCTTTTAGATCTTGAATATTTCTTGTTTTTTTGATATCTTGTTCATATAACTGTAGACCCTCCTTATCTAGTTTTTTTATGATTAATCTTGCCAAAACTGGATCTGTATCATTCAATTTAATACCCATTGCTTCAAGATCATGAATACATTCGATTGTAGTATCAATTAAGCTTTTCAGGGTTTCCACTGAATCACTTTTAACTGTCGGTTGTTCTAATAACTTATCTACTATTCTAGTAAACATTTCCCTTTCGTTTCCATATCTCCGACACAACAGATTCCATGCAGCGTCATAGTTTTCATGTGAGACATTAAGATGTTGAATTAATCTGCTTGCATTACTTGTTACTAAAATTTTTAGTCGATACATTTTGTCGAGATTTGAAATGTGTTTGTCTTTGTGGACTAATTTATGGTATAGATCATAAAATGAAGGCCATTTCTCTATCTTTCCTGTAAAACACGGAATTTCAATATTTTTAACTTTAAGCGAATTTCCGTTTTTTTCTTCGTTTAGTTCCCTTATTAATCTTGTTTTGGTTGTATTGAAGTCTTCTTCTATTTCAAAATATTCTTCATCTAGTCTATCATTTTTGTGTAGATCAATCTTATTATATAAATTAGTTATTATTCTGAATTGCTTTTCCAATTCATTTATGTGAGTACCAGTATCTTTATAGTCGCTCTCAATTAATTCTCTCATCTCCATTACGGCTTTTATATAGTTTTCAAATAATTTAGTATTATTGTCGCAACTAATTGGAACTTTCTCATTCACTGCTGGAGCCTTTTGAATTGCTTTCTGCATCAAATTTTTTAAAAATTTGTTCGCCTTACTCACATTTGCTTTCACCTTCGGGTATAAATTGGAATAAAGATAATTTTCAAATAATTCTTCTGGCCCGGTTTGTAGATTCTCGTTATTTTGTTGAAATTGACTCCATAGCTTCTGTACCTTTTCCATATGTTCTTGAATTGTATTTGTTGACAACGCTTTTCGTTTAGTTGAGTTAATTATGTATTCGATTTCACAATGAATTTGATGCTGCTCTTCATAACAGTCGTACTCATTCATGTTTTATTTTTATATGTTCTCAAACTCAGCGACAAATTTATCAATAACACACAATTTTAAAATCAGTTCGGTTACTAAAATGTTTTAGATCACAGATACACTTAATAGTAGCACCGAAATTTGAAAAAACTATTTGATGTTCTAACTTCGAAAATTGATTTTATTCTGAGTTTATTTAAAAAATCTCATCCTATTTATATGAATTTTCATTACACTAAATTAAAATGTATTCTTAGAATTTGGAATGCTAGGTAACCTTGTAATTGGTGGATTGTATTTTTAGGGCCTGTGCTACAGGACTCTAAAAAAGGTACCTGATAATCTAATCTACGTGTTTACCGCACTTTTGTGTCTGCAGTTTTGCGTCTATAATTAGGGACGACATTCAAATCAAACGCGTTCTCCTTAACCTTCAGTGTAAACTTAATACTACAATTTGTATTACCTTTAATGTACACCCAGCTAATCTATTTTATTCTACCCATAGTTACTATTCAATTTTTAATATAATTATAATTATTTATAACATAAAGAAAAACCACTTATTTTATATTTTTTAAACCAAAAATTTTCACTTTATTGAACATAATAATATTAATTAGCTTATTAATTAATATTATTTTATATTTTTGCCGTTAATTTTTATTTAAACTTATTAATACCATATCAATATGAATTTATGTTAATTTTTTTTATTATATTTTTTTATTTTATTTAGCTTTACATAATAATTTAGCAGTAATAATAATTTAAATAATTTTAATTAACGTTAAATTTAAATTTTATTTGTATTTTAAAGTTTGTGTTTGTGTATTTATATTTTTGCAAATAAATTTATTTATTTCAAGTATTTTTATTATTAATATTTAACATTATTGACAAAATATATTTTATTGTTAATGTTTTTTTATTTATGAACTATTTTGTATTTTGTAACCTTATTTCTTGTAGTTTTAAATTATTTTAAATATTTTTATTTTTATATAAACTTTTGTAGCATAAAAGCCTTTTAAAAAGTGACTACGATTTACGTTTATTGATTTATTGTGGTACTATTTTTGTGTATGTATGGATGTTTGTAAGTGTGTTTGTGTAACGCAGTTACTAAGTTTTTACTTAGAAGTATAAATGACTCTGTTTCTAAGTTATTTTTCCAGTATAAATGTTAAATCAACTTTTATCTTTTTTTAATAATTTTTATTAAATTTTTAATGATTCAATTTTTATAAGTATATGTGTGTGTGTATTCTATAAATTTTCTGTGCTTTAATAAATTCAATAATTTTTATTTATAATTTATTTCATATTAAATTCATAATATTTGTATTAAAACTTCAGCCATATTTTATTTTATACTGCATATTAATAAAATCTACGCGTTGCTCTTATAAAAAACTATGTGGAATATTTGTAATTATTTTATTTATATATATATATATATTTCTCAATAAATTTGTATCTGAAATAAATCAAAATTAGTTTAAACAAAATATATTTAATTTTTAGGCTGATTTTTTTATTAGCTGTATATTCAAGTTTATTTATTTTGTTATAAGTTTTTAAAAGACTTTAAGCTATATTTACATTATACAAATAAATATAAATCCTTCACCTTTTTTTGTTTAGTTTTTTTGTTGCAATATTTTGCTAGTTTTATAAATTTTTTAAAATATTTTACGTTTAGCTTTTTTTAAAATTGCCACAATTTAAAATATTTTATTTACTAAACTATTTACAAAATATGTTAATTTACTGCTTTGTTACTTTAAATTTAATTTTAAATATTTATATATATTATTTAAATGAAAACAATTGCATATTGGACAGAATAGTTTGTTAATTATATTTTTGAATAAATATATATATATATTTATATATATATTCATATATAATATAAAGTACATAAACCATATTTATTTGCACAAGAAAAAGTATGCATTTTAAAAATTCATACAAACACATTTACACATAAAATACAATTAAATACAATACAATAAGATATGATTAATAATAAAAAAATGTTATGAATTAAACATAAAATTATGTTGTGCACAAATTTAACAAATAATTTTTAGAATTTTAACATTTTTTTTTTTAATTTTTAACGTGATTACTATGCTGATTTTAAAACTTCTTTTTTTAATAAACTATAACATAAAATAGTTCATAAAAATTTATAAATTTTGTTTAAAGTATTCTAACGAAATATTAAATAATAATTTTATAATAATAGTTAAAAATTTTGGAAAAAAATATTAATGTAATATAATTAATATATTTAAATAGTTATAATTTTTTATAAGCAAATATTTAACGAAAACGTTACAAAGATAACATCCATTCTTAATTTCGTGTTAAGTAATTAAGGCTAATGAATACGATCAAGGACGACATATATTTAGTATAAAATTTATTAGAAGTATTTTGAAAAGGTGAATCAATCGAATACGTTATTAAGACATAGATGACATATGAAGCTAGAGGGACTACCTGAATAAATTCAACAAAAAAATTTGTGAAAAATCGACCTTCACACTTTGACCCATATGCCTTAAGTTAAAAGGGTAGAAACTCACTGAAAGTTAAAAAAATTCCATAAAAATTGGGAATATCGTAAAAGCAATGTATATATTCAAATAGTTAAGTAGGTTAGGTAGAGTTGAATAAATTCTATAAACTGCAAGATGTTGTGAGAAACCTTGTGCTCATTATAGAATCGCTCTATGATACACAACTTGATAGGTAGGTAGGTTTCTGTTATAAGTGTGGTAGGTAATATTGAGGTGACATCGATACAAGCAGTTGTGAAGGTTCGGACGTACGTGTATGCCAAAATTAGTTGGAGATAGATAGTTGATACACAATTTGATAGGTAGGTAGGTTTCTGTTACAAGTGTGGTAGGTAATATTGAGGTGACATCGATACAAGTAGTTGTGAAGGTTTGGACGTACGTCCAAAGCCAAAGTAGATAGATAGCTGTAATATTTGAGTGAAGTTTATCAAAAAAGTTATGAAAAGTATTCAGTTAATAAGGGGCAGAAATTTATTCTGTAAAATGTTTTGTTTTCAGATCGTTTCTGACGTGAAAATCTAAAAAACTGAATATGCCAGTAATGTTATTGATATTCTTTCCATATTTTCCTATACTGTACTTTACTTTTCTAGTGCTGTTAGTTGATACTTTGTCTTGTGTTCAGTGTAGTAAAGGTTTTCATTTCGTAATTGTTGAACGAATTTTTTTTTCACTTATGTGACTTTATAAATAAAAATATCTATGTAACGTCTTCATGAAATAGTATCTATTGAAAATAAAACATATTTTTATTGAAATATAATTCTAATCAAATTAAATTTATTTCAAAATTAACAACCTAAATAAGTTCGATATTAATTAAATATTGTTTTTGTTTTTGTATATATTAATGATTGTAGTGGAGCAATATTTTTTACTAACAAAGTCCTTTTAAATTAAAATTTCTAAACTTTCGCTATAAGGAGGGATATTTTACGCTTTGGCACTTTGCTCCTTTTCAAGGCAGCAAACTGCAAATTATGACTAAGAAAATTATTACAACACATATAAAGGAATTATGAGGAAGAAGTTAATGTGTGGACGTTTGTAATTTTAATAGAAATTATGTTACACAAATGGACGTCAGTTAAAGTGCTATCAAATTTTTACTACTACTTTTAATAAAAAATGAGAAACAAAACAGAAAAAAACCACTTCAAATTGAATAAAAGTGAAATGCGCCATTTTTTATTTACATTGCATAAAAAACTGACTAACTTGTTTCGTTTACTAGACTAGCGTATAATTCGTTAAGCTGCATTGCCCGCGTTCCTTTAACAACATTACTAGATTAAGAAATCTACTACTTTAGTAATTTTTTTTAGTATTTTTTCTTAAGGGTTACCTTTTGTGATTTTTGTTTTTCTAATTTTGGCCGCTTAGTTCCATTTTATAAACGCTTTAATTTAACAATTTATTGTTTTTTTTGTTTTGCTTTTTTACTACTTTTTTCTCAATGTTTAAATACTAATTAACTGTACTCGCCGTTTTAAACTATCTTTTATTTTTATAATTAATTAATTAATTTAAATTCTATAATATTTTTAGCGCATTTTCAAGACCACAAAAGTAATCGTTAAACGCTACAAAACATTTTGTTTGGAAAACTGCATAAATTCTAGCCTAAAAATTGTAAATAAAATTATAATTTCAATAAAATTTGCTTTAAATGATCTGTTTTTTTCTTAATTTTCAAAATAAAATACAAACATATTATTTAACTTCTACCTTGTCATTAATTTATAATATAATTGTTTCTTAAGTACTTCGTGCTAGTTTTAATACTCCATATTCCAGCTTTATTTCAATTTCTACATTTCGTCTGTTAGACGTCTGTTAGCTTTTACGTCTGAGGGTTGTCTCTATTAACGAATTGCATATTTTTTCAGGAAATTCATTTGTATTGCTTACAACCAAACCAAATTCAATTCTGTCTTTTAGAACTTAGTCCTTGATTGCCTGTATTTTATTGTAGTAGTTTAGTAGCGTTGTTGATATTCATGATGCCAACGATTGAAGTCTATATGGAACACAATGATAGAACCAGTCGAAAGTCCAGCCAAGAGATATCTAAAATGAGAAAAATACAAGAATATTAAACTATGTATGCAAAAAATTAATGAGCTAGATAGGCTCTAAGAAGACTTTTCAAGATACCATGGTACATTAGGACGAATGACATCCTCAGGGACCTCAAGATTGATCCGATCAAAAAATACATAAAGGATAGAGCACTGAAATTATTTACGAAAACAGACAAGCTTACCAACACCGCATTATCGAATGTTAGAATGGTTACAGGCTCCTCGGAGAGGTATGCAGATCTAAGGTCAGTTATTGTTTAGTCTGATGAAGTGATAAACAATAATCCAGTCAGGGTATTGAGAGGAGTTATGAAGAAACCTCACAGTCAATAGAGAGTAAAAACACTCAAGTGCACTGACTCAACTAGTCTCAATATAATAATATATATTATATATAATATATAATAAATATAAATAGGAGATATAAAAACATTCGATTAAATTATCTATAGGTGTTTGAAATAATATTTTTACACTTTCTATAAAAATTTTATGAAATTAAGTTACATGAAATGTATAGCATTCGCTAATAACAAGGGAAAGTTAATAAAATAAATATTTATTTCCAAGATCAAGAATACTTAACATAAAAATAACTTAAAGCCATAAAGTCAAAAATATAGTATGGCAATAATATTGTTAACTAAGATGGCAAAGAACTTTTCTGGTATAGAGGATATACTTACTTTTGATCATGCGTCAAAGCCAGTGAACGAATGGCTGCATTACAAGCAGGGAACGCATATAAAGGAGCTAAGTTAAAGGTACGCCAAACCTCAACAATGCCTCTATCGCCAGCAGTCATCAAATATTCACCATCACGCGAGAGCAACATGCACTGCAAAATACAAAAAGTAGACAAAGCATATTAAAATAAATTATATATTTAATCCGTATTACATATATGTACACATTTTTATATACATTTATATCTCTTTAGAAATTAATTAATATATAGAGAAACATATAAAACACGTATAGCATCAGAACTTACATGCAGATTATCATTATGAGTCTCATGTCTTAATTTCTTTCCATTGATGGTGTAGGCTGCAACATTTCCTTTATCATAATTGACAACTATGAAACCCTCACGAGACATGGTAATGAGTTCAGGTGAGTAGAAATCCATAGGGGGATCAAGTGAACGTAGCAGATCACCAAAAGTCGTATGTATAAGTACAGGGCCATCTAATAATATTACAAAAAAAAAACCAAAAAATTAAAAATAATATAAATCCTATCACAATCCTAAATAAGACATTTAAAATCTTCTTGAACTCGGTTCTTACTTGTTGATCCAGACACAACTAAACCAAGTTCTGCACTAATCACAACCGATGTCACAGCCTGTTCATGTCCTGTCAAAGTGGCGCGTGGCGTAGGCACATCCCCCTCGCCCACAATACTCTGCGTACGCGCATTCCAATGCCAAAGTAATACTGTACAATCTGCAGAACCAGATGCAATGTAACAATCTGAGGTTATGTTGCACTCTGAGCGCGCCAAGCAAGTAACAACTCCAAAGTGACCAAAAACGATTTGTACAATTTTTGCTAAACACAGAAAAATTGCACTTCAAAATTTAGTATTCCTAACATGAAATCTCATAACAAACCTGTTTCGGTTGCAAATACACGGAAGCTGTTATCCCAGAAACCGCAAGCGATCAGGAAGCGACTATCGACAGTCGTCACAAAGCAATTGGCGCGTATTTTCAGCATTTGACTAAAATTATCGCCCAAATGCCGACGGTTCATTGGATTGTTATGACCCGTGTTTTGTGCAGCTAATCATTAAGAAAAACAAAATGTATGAATAAGTTATGAGGACATAAAATATGCAAGAAAAAAATTTTATAATATTTTCAAATAACTACTTACACAAAACTGGATCCACCGTTAGTGGCTGATTGGATCCTGCTGTTTGTGGTGTGTCTGCATAGCTGGGACTCTGGACGGATGCGGTGTAGTTGCAATTCCAACGATTGACTGCGAACTGATGACCGGCAGTTACTGTTACCACAGATGGCAGCGATAGTTGCGGATAGGTATTGGCCGAAATATGTATTATCGGTGAATTTTGGTAAAATTTAAGCATTTGACATAAGTCATCAGGCATAGCACTAAACATCATAGGTGACAGATGCATTGCTGAACTACGTGGTGGATGTGGTTCCATCAGAAGCTGACTTGGTGTCTGTCCGAAATTGCGAATTTGATTTTCTACTGCTTCACGCATGACTGCATCTGTTATGCCATCTAAGTCCACACTGCCCTCATAAGTCAAATAATAGAAAACATTAGTAGCACGCACAGCTTCAGGTCCACGTTGCTTGTAGCCAAATATTATGTCGATCCATTGATGTAATTGGCACGAGACGAATTCCGATTCTAAGGCCATGCGGTTGATGCGCACAAATTCCTCGGCACTCTTTGCCCAAGGTGGCAGCTCCACATCGTTAACGAGTGCACCATCTTCACGATGGCCAAGTCGATAACCGGAAGAATTGTAAAACATTTCGGGTAGGAAATACCATTCTGGTATAAGTTCCTTTACATCCGAAGTGTCACGTTGGCAGTTTTTCCACGATAATGAAATGGAAGAGAATAGTCTATCTGGATAGTCAAATTTGCCACCTTGTAGCGCTAAAAACATTGTCGTAAATGGTTCGACACGCACTAGCCAGTTGAGAGTGAAACTTGAGGTTGAGTAGTGTGTGCCATAGTGGAATGGTGGAATGCTATCACTTTCCCAACTTTCATACCTTTCTTCAAAATATGCACGTCTAGAGGGATTTAATGCACCTATCGGTTTCGAGAGATCGCGATAATTCGAAGGTAAACTCAAGTCCAGTTCTTTTGTATCATAGTTAGTTAGCACCCAAGGGAATATTGGATATTGATTTAAGTCGTTGTATGTGCGCCCTGCAATCGTGTTCAGGAACATTAAGTACTCAAAATTCGATATTTCGCGGCGCTGCCACTTTTGTGTCATATTTGAGTTACGCATCAACTGACGTGGCGACATCATCGAAGCTCGTCTAGTTTGTGGTATGCCATACTTTATGCCAACACCAACACGTGGCAGCGCTTTAATGACCTTTTTGACCGTGTGCTGATCGGGGAAAGCGAATAAGATTGAAGTGCGACTGGCCAAGAAAATTTCCAAAGCGACATTTTGTAGCAGGTAACGCCGCGAGAAAATAGCACGCACTTCAGAAAAATACCATTTACCATGCAGGTGATCACAGTATTTTAACACTTCGGGATCAATTTTTTGGAACTCCAAGTGATCTTCATCTACTTCGAAGAACATTTCAGTGCTAGTAATGGACACAGTACCTGGTGCCACTATGCCAGGAGCCACGAGTTTGGCTTTTGTGCTTATATTCACAGGACCAGTTAGATCTAAATCTAGTTCACGATCTTCAATCAGTAACTCAGCGTCATCCAATAAGTCAGCATTGTGCTGTGTAGACTGATGTGCTCGCGAAACTGCTATTTGCGTGTGGAATTCATCTCTGGTTTGCAATATAGCATCTTCAGGTGCACCGTTTTCAAGAGCTGCTTTTAAAGTCGCTTGCGGATGTGATGAACCACGTGGGTTTTGCACCATGCGTTTACGTCTACGTGCGTCATCTTCCCAAGCGTCTAGTTTCCAATAAGTTTGCTTTTGCACAGAACCACTGGAATCACCCCAAGCCCCGTGGCGATTGCACATAATATTACGCACTTTCTCAAGCAAACGGGAAGCGATGACATTGTCGCGTCGACGAGCGGCAGTTATTAAGTGGTCACACATGCGTTCCTCTTCCCGGCGTTCTAACAATGTTTGCGCACATTGTGATTCAAAGTCAGCGTGTTTCAATACATCATCTGCACGCATACGATTAAGTATGAACTCCGCTTCATTGGCAACTCGCACGATGTGATCCTTCATAGCGTGGGAGAGTAGACGACCCTCATTAATTAATTCGATAAAGGCAAGTCCAGCGTGTTTTTGCAAACTATTCTGCCATTCTTGCGAGCACAATAACATGACCAACTCTACAACAGACTGTGAATTCTTAAATGTAGTTAGGCCTTTGCCTTCCATTAGCAACTCCTGGCCGTGTGAGCCTACCAAAGTTTTCGAAAGGAACGGTGCAAAATCAACCATTATTTCACGCAGCAACGGACATACTGGACCGAGCGCTACTTCTAGTTTTTGTGTTAAGCTAGCCTCTCGTGACGGTGTAGTCATAGGTAGTTGTGATACAAGTTGTGGTTTCATCGGCAAGTCATCGGGACGTGTACGTTGACTTCCATTGTTCGTCGCACCACCAGATGAAGAGCCATAATTGTCCGGTACTCGCACAACAGATATTTCAGAATCTGGTTTATCACCACGTTCATTTGCGCTATGATGATGTGTCTGTGTTTGCTGTTGTTGTGACTGCTGTGGTGCATGTGGCATGCCATCAAGACTACGCAATTTGACATCATTCGATGAAACACCGCTGCCTACAATCATGCCACCCACATTTGCTTGTACACCGGCATCTTCATTTAAATTGACATCTGTCCAACTTTCGTCATTCGAGTTTGTGGGTTTGTTGTCATCGACCATTATTTCACTCGATGACTCCACTTCAGGAACTTCATTTTCAGTTGAATTCATATTCAATGAGCCAACATCGGAGTCAACACTCTGTGGAATTGGAATACAATTACAAATGGATATTTCAAAAGTGTGCGTTATTGTGTTTGTCATGTATGGAAAATATTTAGTTAAGCCAAAATTATGTTCAAAATGGTGAATAGAAGCGACGGTGACAAGATGAGCCGGTGATGTTGATGATGGTAAAGTTTTTGAAGTGAGTGTATTTAGGGCAAAGTGCGTATATTGGATATTTATGTTGCATGTACATTAGGTGGTGACGTATATAAGAATGATAAACAAAAATTTAATATGAGACAAATTTTAAAACAAAATAGACTCTGAAGTTCGTTCGATAACTTCACACTTGAGATACATTAACAATGTATCTGGCGTGTGTATCTATTACTAGAACAATTTGTAATTTTCGTTTGAAATTGTTATGAAGTCACTGTGTTGTTACTTCAAGTTCATTGCAGTTAAAGACTTGCCTGCAAAATCATTATTCATAATTTAATTAATTGAAATGTTGGATTTTTGGATGAAATCCACTAAAATACAAATTAATTAAATTTCGATTATTCATTGCTAATACGAATTGATTACTCAAATATGCAAGAACTTCCGGTTGACATGTTAGCAAAGTAGAATTGATTACAGACTGACAGGCTGACTGATCAGCCGCAATGTAAATACTCGTACGTACATCAATCGAACATGACAGATATCAGCATCAGTTGCACATTAATTATTTATTAAGCAAATAAAATATGCTATAAGGCGAACTGTTCCTGGGAACAGCTAGAATTTGAATTCCACCAAATGAGACAAAAAGCCATAAAAATGTCATCATGCATTTGTCATTTACATAAACACGCAAACATATTGCAGACAGGATATCTGGATATTTGGCTGGACAGTTAGAAGGATAGCCAACTTGTCGTCGTTAGTCATTTGATAAATGCAAACTGTCAAAATGCCAAATTCAACAAAATGTCAATCAGATTTTAGGAAATAGAAGTAAAAACTTTTAAGTGATGAACTTGTTTTTTTATTTTATTAAAATTGAAATAAATTTGATATGATTTATCAGGTGAAACAAAGTGTCTGTCTGTCATTTAAGCATTCATATGTGAGTACATAGCATTGTTAGTGTGAGTTTATATGAAAGTGCTTGGCTGACTGCTAGGCAAATATGTAAATAATAAATTTAATTGCTATTTTAAGTCAAAAGGAGGACTTAAGCCCTTTCAACTAATCGATTAACATCACGAAGACAAATGCCAAATGCATTAATTACAACGCAAAGGTGAAAGGATTAAGTTTAAGGTATAATATTTTCAATTAAGGAAGTTCAAGTGATTAAATTATTATTTATTAATAAAGTACGTCTTTAATATACCACCCCCATGGCTGAAGTGATTAAGTGTTAGTATTGCCGTGCATGTTTATGTGTAATTAATAATTCTTGCAAACAAAAGCTTAATAAATACTAGAATATTTTTACTATTATTCTATCAGATACGTGCATATCATTGAGTCCTGTTTAATGATATTCACGTTTAAACACATAAGAGACGTACAAACACATGAATTGATTAATGTCGATACATTTTAATGACTGCTTAACATAACTTAACATACGAGTACACACTCTGCGCTTAATGCTAATGTTAATGCCAATGCTAATGCTAATGCTAATACTAATGCTAATACTAATGCTAATGATAACGGAAACGGAAACATAAACAATTCATTACATACTTAAGCTTAGATAGTTGTTTAGTGTTGTGTTAATGTTGTAAATTAATTGAAGTACAGTTTTTTTAACGTGTCGTGTACGTTTGTGTGCGTGTGTTAAGGTGTTACACATATTATTAGTTACTAAATGTTAGTGTGCTTAAGTACTAAATTTAATTTGTTAATAAAATCTATGTATCTTATATTTAAGTATTAAACAAAGGTGGACAAACGATGCATTGATTTTTGCTAAATTTGTGAATTTAAGTTATTATGCTTCTTCTATATTGGTATTCATCTTGACAGAAGTATTCCTGCTTTGGAAGTACCATAGGTGCCAAAATTGTGATTTTACAAATGGAGTCTAATATGATATATTGATATTTTAAAAGAAATAATAATATTAAATTATACAAAATAATGTCAACAATAAAGTAATATTTAATAAATAATAATAAATAATTATTAAAAAAGAATATACGAAAAGAAAGGTATGACAAAGCATATAAATAATCAGAAATAGATTAATATATATAAAATAATTGAAATTTAAAAATGAATATCTTAAATCTTTTAAATACTTTCACGAAATACTTGATATTTTTAATGTTGTAAATATTCCCTATTTTCAGCGGCTGTTTACCGATATCAGAAGTAGATGTATTGTTTTAATTTCGTCTGGAATACAAAATGGTTTAACAAGGATAACATATGGTGTTATAATATAAAGGTTGGTTAAAGTAGTTCATTTATACATCTCGTAACGTGACGGCATCGCAATGAGCAATAGACGACTTCGACTTGCAATAACTATTTCTAAATTGTAAAAATAGTTTTGAAGTTGTTTACAGCCAGGTCATAAATGACAAGTTTAATTATTGTTAATACCCAAGGCATTAGAGAATAATTGATTTTGAGTCCCTGCAAATAAGTACACAACATTTATTCCGCGATTTCCTTTGAAAGGCAAAAACTGTTAATTTGGAATGTTTTTCAAATCCCATCTTAAACATTTTTCATTGTTTCTCCTATAAATTGGTTTTAATTGCTCGTTATTCAGTTACCTGTTACCACTTCAAATGTTTTTCTCACAAATCGTTGTTGGGTTTTGTGGTAGAAATAAGTCATTAAGGGCTTAATTAATGAAATGTTGCCATACATCAATGAACTCGGAAATTGTTTCCGTACAAAATAGCCAATTTGCCAATTTGCAGTTCAACTTTTGATTTATTGAAATTAATTTGCAACTATTCGAATTCAATCTCGTTAACATTTTTACTTTCTTGAAGTCACTTGAGTATGCCACACATAAAGAAACAAGTAAATTAGCTGGGAATTACGACCACATTCCGACCAACCTATCGACTAACTAATTACTTTTGGGAAACTGTACTGCTTAAGTAATTGGATACGTTCTGTAGAAGAAAAGCTTCACATTGCATAAAGTTGTATAAGTGAAAGGTACTTAATTATGAGCCCAAAGCAGGATAATTGAAGTATGTATTGTGTTGAGAAGTAATAACGCAACAAGGTTTCACAATAAGACAATCTAGAGCAAACGAGAAAATATTCCAGAGAAAAATTGATGTATTTAAATTGTATTATTCCAAAAAAGTGGGTGTATCGAATATAAGCTAATTTAATAATTTAAGAACTAAGAAAATTTTATATAAAAATTGAATTTAACTTTTAACTCATGACTAACTCTAAAGTTATTATTTAAAAATTCATTTTATTTAGAAGGGCGACTTATTTTCTTATATTATATATAAAAAGCTCTGAGCTTTAAATTGAAAATAATTATAAATAATAAATTTAATAATTTACTTCCAAAAGTAACAGTTAACATTGCTTTAGGAATTTTCATGGTATTCTTGCAATTTCTTGGAAGAGATAAACTACATCGAAAGTATTACATCGTAGCAAGAAAAGTGAAATTGTCAGAAAGTTACTTCAACTAATTACTAACAGCAGCTCTACACAATAGAGATGGACTTAAATTTTACTAGAGTATCATATGTGCAGTAGTAGTTTTAGTTTTATTCTATATCCTTCTATATCCTTCATGAAACAAGACAATGGTAAATTTTGTAAAAACTTTACTAATTGATTTGATAATATAAAGAAAAGATTTTTTGAAGAAGAGAAGCATAATTTTACTAATTTTTACAAATATATTTTATTATAAACGGAAGAATGCATTTCATTTGAAAAGTTTGTCATCAGATGAATATTATTTTATAAAAATTTTATGGAACTTTTGCTGAACAAATTAGAGAATTCATTGAATTAAATATTTAATTTAAGAGCTTAACAATTCTGCTAGTTATTATTACCAATAAGGATAACTGAAATTTGCATATTAATATCAAAAGGATTATACTTCAAATCAACTGCAGATATACGAAAACGAATACGCAAGGAGTATATATTCTGCTAAAGAACATATTAAAATGCAAATATCTTATATTCCATATTATGTACATATCGCATAACTTCACAAATTTGTATCTGCTGCACTTGAGAATTATAAAATATGACATCATTCGGTGCCTTTAAGCTTTACTGAGATTTTCTTATACAAATACTTGACAAAAATTGTTGCAAATTGTATCAAAATTTGCTGAAGCGTTAAAAGCAAATTTACATAATAGTTCACATATAAGTTTATTATATAATAAATTTATTTTCGTAAGTAGTGCTCAGTTGATTGGAGGGAAGAAGGGAGATACACACTATCACTTTTCTGACATATTTTATATAGTTGTAAATTGCTCCTAGAAGTGGTGCTTGTAAGTGTAGTTTCGTTCATGTTTACTAATAACAATGAAAATATAAAGTTGTCAAGGCATAGTAAGGAATGAATATAATGGATATGTGCTAAGAAAAGAAATAGGAGTAGGAGAAGGAGAAAAAGGATGTGGATGTGGGCTTTTGGTCATTTGTTGTTATAGTCAAAAAGTAAAATCTAACTTAAGGCTAAAATGTTTCATATTTAATTCCTCTTTGACACAGAACTTTTTGAAAATAGTTCTTTATATTCTCAGATATGGTTTAAATAAGATATGCGAAAACTTTAATGGTATTTATTAACTTTTTATAACAAAAAGAATAAATATAGCTCTTTGTGAAGAATATTTATTTCTCCTTTTAATTAAATTAAGTTATCTTCGTACATATGTGAAATACCTTGAAACCGGGTCGCGAAAAGAAATCTGACCCAATTATTGAGGTATTCCACTGTTAAACATTATGATGTTTATTAAACAAAATTGATACATCTCTCTGACACATCCTTAAAATAATCCACAGAAAGGATTTCACATCTTCACATCTATTGTTTGGGAATTTGGATTGTACGTTCTATTCAACTAACCAAGAAAGTCTTTGGTATATACTTAATCGCTTGGATATACCAAAATAATTGTTTGATTTAATAAACAATATCTATACCGTCAACAAGAGAAATCAGATTATTTTAATACAAACAAAAAGTCATTTACTTGTAATCTCAAATATAAATTACATTTTATCATATGGGATTGTTCGGTTATATGGATTCCAACTACTTGGGGGAGATATCCCAACCTTATAAATATTGTCAGATAATTAACTAAATAAACCGTAAAAATATATATTATATACACAAAATAGTAATAAATAGCTGACAATTTTTTTAAAAACAATTTGATTAAATGAAAATTGCAATCAAGTACTAATTGGTATGTATTATAGTGGATATTTCGGCTAACTGGATCCCAACATTTATTTAAAATCATCTTTATCAAATAAGTGTTGTCAAATAATTGATTGAAACAGTAATAGACGGAAAAGATAGTTTGTAGTTCAATAGATTTTAAAGATTAATTAGATGAAAATCGCCTTAAATAGTAGTTGTTGTATGTTATAGTGGATTATTCGGCTGAGTGGAACTCAAAAACTGTGCTTACCAACAAGTGTTGCTTAATTAAATGACTTCTAAGAAGATAATATCGAGCAATCAGTTACTAGATTAAGTTACTTGATTTCTTGCAATAGTTGTCGTGTGTCCGAATGGATTATTCTTCGAGAGGATTTTAAATTCTTCAGAAAGCTATCTTAGCACAAAATATTTTTACAGTATCGTGAAACCTGATTGATCAAAATTGTCTTTGTTCATTTGCTATGGATTATTCGGCTAAGTTGACGTAACATTATGGGAGCACCAACTGGATTTGATGTAAGAACCTGGATTAGGCGCCTGGGGAGACATGCTGCGTCTGACCGAAACTTGGCAACGGGTTGTTATGGCCAAGTGAGTAAGTAAGTAAGGACACAACACCGTACTTACCGTAAATAATTTATTAAATAGTCAGCAGCAGTGTTAACTTATCTAAATAAAATATTTATTACTCATTATTATTATTAATCCATTAAATGCATTTCATAAATAATATAAATTGACATGGAAATCCAATTAAATCTCACTAACCACATTACGAGTAAATTGTTGTTAATATGGAAGTAATTTCGAAAAACGAAAAATTTATTTTGCAATTTTTAATGTACGAAAGCCAATACGAGGAGTTGCCATATTGCCATATTTTAAAAGTCAAATAATAATTCAAAATAATTGCTCATAAACAACCATTCCCGACTCAATAATTCGATTCGAATTTTCACACGAATTATGGAAACAAATGCTGAAAATTATTCAATAATCTGCAACAATATGCAATCATTTGCGAGGCGGCGTGTAGTGTCAATTGCAGGGCGGGGAAATTACTGCTCATAGTGGTAGGTAAATAGTGGAAAAAATGCACAAAACCTACAAAATTATGCCAATGAAAAAATTAATATAATAAAAAAAATTAAATTAAACAAAATAAAATATTTAATAATGAAACGAAATTCAAGCGAAATTGCGACATTGTTGACAAAAACAAAAAACAACATGGCGTATGGCGAATGGCGTGTGGCCGCCATTTTTAAATGCATCAATAGAAATTAATTGAAGTAATTTCAAATGAAAAAATATATTAAATGCGCTTAATAGATTAAAGTTAAAATGTTAAAAAAGGATATAAAAGTTTTAAATTAAATTGATTTTCATTTTAAATGAAATGAAATCGAACGAATATGCAAAAATATGTAAAGCAACGCAAAACAAAAAATCTCTTTCAATTAACAGTTCACAAAAAAAATAAAATGTATCTAGGCTCATAAAAAACACAACAAAAAAAAAACAAAAAAAATAAACATATTTAACAATAAAAAATATATAAAAAAATATTAAACATTAATTCTTTATGAAACATAATTGAAAATGAAAACAAAAAATATTACAAACAAATTGTTAACATTTAAAAGCTGAAAGGAATATGAGGAATCTACTAAATCTTTATGTTGCTGACTTTTTGCAATTAAAATGTGTAATTTTATTTTTAGTTCTTTTCTCTTTTTTTTTTGAAAAACAATAATTTAAACAAAATGGACGACATTTTGCAATTGTGTTTGATTTTTTTTTTACCTTTGGCAATTTTTGTGGCACCACTGGTTTGGGTGGTGACAGGGGCTGTTGTTGTAATTTATTTATAATTTTACTACTCGTCGACATTGTTGTTGTTGTTGGTGTATTTAAAGTTGTATTGGTGTTATAAGCATTTGTTGTTGTTGTGGTTGGAGTCGTTGTTGTAAATTGTGTTGTATTTGTACTAAACGTCTGTCCAACCTTATTTGTTTTTTTTTTAATATTTTAGTCATGCAAATTAATATTTTTAAAATTGTTTTTTTTTTTAAATAAATTTTATAATAATTTTAATATAATTAATTTACAAATACTTAAAAATAATGTAAAAATTAAATACATATTTCACAACATATACATATACAGAAATGTTGAATAAATATCAATAATGTGAACAATTTTGTTATGAAAAAAGTATGTACAATCAGTATTAATAATTACTGTAATAATAAACTTAATTAAAATATAATAATGTCACTGCATTAAGTTTAAAAATTAATGGAATAAAATTCACATAAAAAAGTATGAATTTGTAACACATAATATTAGCTTTAGCACATCAGATCACCTCACTCGAGATGCATCATACTCCTCGCATAATAACACTCACACAGTATTTCAATTTATATTCCCAAAGCAGCGAGAGAGAGAGAGAGAGAAACTATGCTAAACTCTATAGATTTAAAGATCTAATAAGTACATAAAAGCACAAGAGAGCATTATCTTTTGAAATTAGATATAAATAGGATACTGGAATAAAAAGGGAGTTTGAGCACATACTAATCACTAGAGCTATATATCGGTTGTTAGATCAACTCGCTTTCTGTGGTTATTGCAAAAAATATAAGATTTAAAAACCACTTGCTTTCAATAGAACATATGAGCAAACTTTCTAAAAGTATTCCTAACCGGAATTTTTATTAATAGAATAAAATAAAATATTGACCACCGAATTTTATTTCGGTTGTTAGACAAATTCGCTCTTTGTTGGACATAAGAGCATATGTTATGACCCAAAATGGGCTTTTATAAAAAAGGTATTGGAATAACATGGGAACTTGAGCACATATTAATTATTAGATCAATATAGCAATTACCGCATGACTAGGGTTTCGAAATAAAGTTAAAAATAAACTATGTATGTCTACGAATATAGATAATATCTTCCAAATTCAAAACATCATCATCAGAAATAATTTCCATTTACAATAAAAAAGGCAGGAAAACGAAATCATGTGAATATACTAATTTTAAAATGTTTTTTGCATTAAACTTATTAAGTTCTTAATTACAGTTTTCTCTATGATCAGATTTCAATTTACCAGAAGATAAGAATATTTGATTAAATTCAATAGCGAATTATATCGATGATTGTAGATTATATTGTCCTAATGTTAAGATTCTATTAATAGGAAATTGAAGGCAAGGCCACCTTATTCCGAAAGATTCCACAAATGTTTTAAACGTGCATATAAGGAACATATTTCAATCTAACTAAGAATACTACAAGTTGGCAGGTACCATACTTGTTATTACTAAATCTAAATCTAAATATTTTAGCATAATTGCTTACAATATTGGAATAGGCTTGCATCATGCAATATACGAGTATACCAAATAATTGAATTAAACGCACAAAGTTAATACCAAACACTTATATTGTATAAAAATAAAGATATTAATAAAGATATTAAATCGATTAATTTAAATATTTCTCAATTTTCATGCTTTTAGTTAATCTTTATTAATTTGAATGATTTTTGTTGAGCAAAAAGATAAAAACCACTGGCCGTTCCAACACAACCCACTATGTAATTTATTTGTACTTAAGTTCAACAGCAGCAGATATATTTTACTTTCGGTATGCACATATTTTATACTTATTTTTTAAGCTTTAAGAGTCGATTTGAGTTACTTACCTTAATTGAAGGAGGTCCACTCGAATGCGAATCATTATCTGCAAGCACAGACGGATTATTCTCATCAACTACAATTATTTCGTAGTCACCATCTTGTATGGCACGAGAGCCTTTTTGTTGTTATTGCAGATTATCATTATAATGATTATTATCATTTTAGCGCATTTTCGTTGTTTTTGTTTTAGTTGATGTTGATGTTGATGTCGTCGTTGTTGTTGTCGTCGTTGTTGTGTTGTGTAGTATATGCAATAATTGTAGCCAATGCCAACGTCAATACAAACCAACGCCAATATAATGATTGTAGTTTTGCAGGAGGTTCAAGTAGTTGTTGCAGGATAAAAATAAGGATGCAGAAAGAGCACAACGTATATTGACCGATGGTGCAAGGATATTGTAGGTAGCAGATTGCAGTTGAAAAATGAAAAAAAATTATTTATTATAGACTTTATATTGTTGTTGTATTTTTATTATTTTCATATAAAGAGATCAATGTGTAGAGAAAAACATTTTTATAAGTATGACAATAAATTGTTTTCGAAAGTTGTCCTTACTCAAGCAAAAGTCCTTAGACAACAAACAATATAGCAACAAGTGCTATTGTTGTTGGTGTTGTTGCTATTGTTGTTGTTGGTATCGTTGCTTAAGTCAAACTTAAAGTGACTAAAAGTTTAATCTTTTGCAGTTACGAAAGAAAGAGCAAAGTAATAATATAACTAGTAAATATATTAAATTACTTTTTTAATTAATTACAATACTTCTAGAAAGTTTTCGTTTTTATAGAAAATATTGCAAATTGATACAGAAAGTTGGCAGTAAGTACCGAGCAGTTGAAGTCACTTGAGAGCAATTATTTAGAAGAAAAATTTTATACGAAACTTGAGTGTGTAGTTTTTATGAAGAAAGTTAAGTACTTTAGCAGTTGAGCAGTTGAGCAGTTGAGAAATTCTTAATTTAATTTTTTCTTTTGTTTCAACATTTTACTTTATATGGTCAATTTGAGATAAGTACTTCGGAATTCTTCCTATAGTATATTTAACTAAATTGTAATTTATATTATTAAGAAAAAGTTTACTCTTAACTGAAAATGTGATTAAAAATGTCAGCAACTTAAATTATTTATTAAAATAAATTTACTTAATTCAAATATATTCAAAATCAAATTAAATCGTTAATAAAATAAGAGAAATAATTCATAAAGTAGTGCATTGAAGCAATCTGGTCATTTATGCATAAATTTGCAACATGCACTTAACAAATTTGTATATAATCAAATTAATATATTAGTTTTGGTATTATTTTATATGTACATAAATAAAATTAATTACTTATATTCTAAAATTGAACATAGATTTATGTATAGAACGTGCAATTTCCTCAAATTTTCTGTATTTATTAAATATTTTTGAGATTTAAACTTATATATAAAGAGATTGAGTTCGATATTATTGGAATTTGCATTGTTTATTACAAATATATTATTTTTGTTGAGTGTAATGATATCCTAGTAAGAATATTGTTGTCCATATTAATAATTTTAATAAAAAAATTGAGAACATTTTAAGACTTATATGTAGTAATTTATCTGCTCTTACGTCTAACAGTTGCCTTATATACGTAGTCTATTTTAAAGGTATTAATTGATTTTTATCCCTTTTCCGGTTTTATTATAACGATATATTATAAAATAAAATGCTTAGATAATATTTTAACTGATATGAATCATTGCCATAGAAGATGTTAAGTGAGACAATAAAATCATATTTATTCAAATACCAGCAAATCTTATAATTGTTTTTAAAATAATAACTTAATTAATAACTTAATTAACATTTAACTAATGGCTGCCCAGAAAAAATCGTCGATTATTAAGATAATAAATATTTTAAAATAGTGTTTAATTCAAATAGTGAAATCATAAATATATAAACAGAATTTATAGTTCATATGCGTATAAATAGAATAATTTAATTATAATAAGTGAAAATATTTTTGCGTAAAACAATTCTAATATAAATACAAATACAGCTAAAGTAAAGAACAAACTCTCTATATAATATATGTGAATCCGTTATCTATGAAATAAAATCAGTAAAATTAATTTATTTAACAAAGCATCAAAAATAATTATTTATTTAGGGAACTTTATATTATGAATCCTTTTATTGCAGATGCAATTAAAATCAGTTGAAAATGATGAAGCTCATATCCTTCGTAAAGGATAAAATTTACCTTTCGTTCTCATTAAATTGGCGCCTTTGGCTAAATTGCAACACTGCAAAACCACGCATATATATTCAACAAAATTTTCCAAACTCAGTACGGCGTGACTGGGTAAATATCTTTGCAACTCCATTTCATATAGGATATAGGATAGGAGTGTGAGTTGCCAGCCAAGTCGACACGTTTTTCTGACAAGCTCTTAAGAGCAAACGTTATATATGAAAAGTGATGATTCATATGCAAGTCTGTTGTTGCATTTGTGTTTTGTGGATTGCTTAGAATGTCATATTTGCTGATGAAAAGTTATGAAGACAGATGGGTTATATGAGCCAACATACGTACGAACGCATGTACGAACAAACGTAAAAATGTACAGTACGTAACAATATCTGGTGTCATTAACATGCAAATGAATGAACACTCATACGCAACGTAGTACATATTTCAATGTAAATTTACATACAGGGACACAAGCTCGTTGCCGCTTACAAAGCTAAGCATATTTCATATGCAGATTTATGCGTGCAACACAAATGCATTTACAAGTGATCTTTGTTGGCACTTTACACTTCTGGTGTAAAAGGATGCCAACATAAACGGACACACAAACAGCAAAAAGTTGGCCTAATCCTAAAACTCACAAAATTATCAAATGTAAACAATTTCATAGATGCAATATTCTGTTTTAATTAAACAATATTCCATACAAACAGAACTTAAATGATTTATTTTATTTTGATTTCATTTTATTTCAAATTCAGTTTTTTGATGGTGAATCCTTATATTTGAGTTGAGTGATGAAACATCACTGATTTAACTTATCAAATAGTAATTAACTTTAATATATAAAATTATCTCATAAAAATAAATCTACCCAAAATATGTGCTACATCTGCTAGTGGTTGTTTTTTTTACCAAAAAAAGTAAGAGTAAAATTTATTGTATGTATAATAAAAAAATTTTTAATAAAATGTCACGAATTTATTTTAATTTTTCACAAATTTAAGTAAATGCAGAATTATATATCATTTACATTTATTAAATATAATGAAGTAACAAATTAGCATCGTTACACCATCTTATTTGGGTCGTCATATGATAAAGTATTTATTAATGTGTTTTTTACAAGAGCCTGATGAAGGTTTGTGGACAATTTCCTTACTGCTGGTCTTTTTGAGGAAGGACAAACGTCCCTAACTAAGTTCTTTTGTATTTTCCCCCTTAGCTGAGTAATATTTTTACTAATTTGCAGTTTTGCTTCTGTTATTAAATTCCTTTTTCGCTGCAGTAAATTTTTGTTAGCACTGCAGCTACCAAATATATTTTATAATAAACCTTAAGTGATGTCTACTGAAGACAAATGGAGATTCATATTAAAAAATGCTTTAGTCGACCGGAGAGCATATTTTTGCGGCAGTTATAAATAACAATTTTACTAATATTTTCACCCTACTTTATAATAAAATTATGAAAATGTACACAATTTTAGGGGAATTGAGGTTATAATTGAGAATATTACTTTCATCACATATTAGTATAAAAAACTATTCACTAAAAAGTATCTCAAATCGAAATAAACTATCTTTTATGTTTTCTTTGACATTCTCTTTTGAAATAATGAGTAAAGTCTAAAAATTACTACTTATTAAAAAAGATATATTGTTTATGCGGATATTCTTCTAAATTATATAGTTAAATTTATCTATTATAAACATTCTGTGTTTCAAATATTTGGAATTTATAGTTTAGAAAACCCACGTAAACATAAAATTACATTTTTTTTATTTACTAATTGGCGGCACACTATTAGGCCGTCTCTTTGTATCAACTGTATTTGGAGATATGTTCTTAAATGTTTTGCGATTATACCTACAATAACAACGTTTGGAACAGTGTGTATATTTTTAACAGTTACTTGTCACGCATAAAAATGGCTATTCCCAATATGAGCATCAACTGCCGCAGAGCTTCATATGATGTCACTCATCTATTTGTTGCACCCAGCAAACACACTAACTTTAGCCCTATTGATTAATAGTGCCGTTCTGTTAAGGTGATAACATTTCACCATGTCGCGCTATGTTAATTTGAAGTATTTCCACCCATCTCCTTTCTTATACTACCTAGCTCTACCTCAGCGTCCTCTCTTATGCTGTTATGCATCTTTCGTTATGTGCTTGTTTTCCATGCATGTGCTTTTCCGTGTATGTGCTTGGTTTCCAAGTTTCAATAGGCTACTACAACATAAACTGAACACGCGATTCATCTATATGACTCCTGCCGAAGATAATACTAACACTTCGAGCAATGCGTTTCCACTCGATAGCTTTCAAAAAAAAATTTGCTGAAGGAGTTAAAGGCTTAACCCTAATAAACCAACAAAAAAGGTGTGCTGCTATAATTCTATATCAGTCGATGACAACTTTTTTTAAGGATATAAAACAGAGTTTAATTCACTGAGGATTTTTGTAGTTTTATTTGATGATTTGGAATATTTTCTACACAGAATATATAGACAAAACTCAATTAAAAATTATTACAAAGCGATTGCATTTAACATTCTTATTGTTTATGTTGTCATAATATTTGAAAATGTTCTAAGCACCAAGAATTGCAATTCTATAGTATTTGCATAGAACTTCAATGTTTCATTGACAATTCAAACGATGATTAACTTATCAAGTTAAATAACTTCAAAGATAAATAAATATGAATATAATACAGAAACAAAGCAGCTGCAAGTAATAAACTTCTAATATTCGTGTATTAGTGCTATAAACCCTAATAAATATGTTTAACATTAACATATGATTAACATATGAATAACATTTTGCTGGTAACATGCTTTACAGCCACTTATATAGTTTATACCGATATTTTATCTTAAACTTATAGCATCCTTATTGACGTGACCCTTATCTTAATACTAAAGCTTTACGGTTTAAATATATCTCTTAACACATTAATATAATAAAAAATATCCATTAATATATATAAATCCTATTTGTATATACTAGTACATATGTAATTCTTAAAGACTAACAAAAAATGGTGCATTTGTGAGATGAGATCTGCGTTAGGTGCATATATGCAGTTGCAGCAAAAACAGCAAAAGATGCGTTTAAGGTGCAGGCAGAAGGTAGCTTTTTTTCTTTTTGAAAACACTTATAAAAAAATAGTACAAAATATTAACGTAAAATACTAAAAAACAGCTAATAATAAAAATGAAAATATTAGTTAACGAAAAGAAAGATTTGTTAAAGAAATAAGTTTGAAAAACTAGGCAAAATAAAAATAGTTCAAGTTTGTTTTTTTAATAAAAGTTTCACTAAAACTATCGAGCACTTGAAAGGAAAGCAACTCGTTTAATCATAAATACTAGCCAAATTACATTTTTAATTAAACACATAGTACAAGGTTGTCTTGTCGCTATTTAGGACGCTAGTTTTACTAAACAACTGTTTCGCTATATCTAAACTAATATAAACACACACAAGCAATACCTGTTCCAGCGGATGTGCGTCCATTAAAGCGATAATTGTTATTAATGCCATTATTTTTATATGGCAACCCACCACCGACACCGACACCAACGCCTACTCCAACGCCTACACCCAGACCAGTGCCCATAGTTGTAGTACCAGTTGTTGCCGTTGTTGCATGACCATTACGCATATTACGCATATTATTCATCATTGGTGCACCAACGCTACCAGCACCGATTCCAAGGTTTCCACTACTATTATTGTTAGTGCCGCCATTAAGCATGCCGTGTGTGTGGTAATCCACGACAACACCATTCTGATGTGAGCCGCCATTCATCATCGGCTGCACCGTTCCATGCATAGGTCGTGTCATATAATGGTAGCCACCATTAGTGGAGCCATTAATATCAGTTGCAACAGCTGCGCCTGCTGCATTACTACTGAAATGTTGCTGGTGATTATGCGTTGTTGTTGTTGTTGCTGCATTAGACATTTTCCCATTAAGCATTTGATTCGCGTTGTTTATCATACTAAAGTGGCTCGTATTTTGTTGTTGCTGATGATAATGATGTTTTTGTCCGTGTCGATGTTGTTGTTGTTGCTGCTGCTGTTGTTGTTGTTGCTGATGATGATGTGGTTGTGAGGCTAAACTCGATAGCGATGAGGAGGAGGCTGGTTGTGATGTTGCTGAGGATGATGTTGAGGAACTTGTTGATTGTGTTGCTAGCGGCGGTGAGATGTTGCCAGCATAATGATTGCTATTCAAGTGATTATGTTGCTGATAGTATGTTTGGTGTGGGTGATGATGATGATTGAGATTATGCTGTTGCTGTTGTAATTGTTGGTGTGGTGGCGAGGCAAGTTGTTGTTGTTGTTGTTGATAATAATGTTGCTGCTGTTGTTGTTGTTGTTGCTGATGTTGCATATTTGTTGCAGTTGTTGTAGCTGCTACATGATTTTGATGTGAACCAGGCAAAAATTGTGGATATACATGATGCGACCATTGAGGAAACAAGGGACGAGCTGGGGGTTCTAAGAGGAAATAGCAATATAGGTCAGGTTGTGGTTACGGTTGTGTGTGAGAGAGAAAAAGAGTAGGAAGAAAAAATTTGTGTGAAAGCACAAGTGGCATTTAGGCAATTTAACAAAACAAAAAAGAAAATTGTGGTAAGAGAAAGAAAAAAAGAATATTAGCATTTTATGCAGAAAATGCAAAGAAAATAGGAATATAATTTAATTTTTTTTTTATTTTTTTTTTTCAATTTAAGAAAGGAAGTGTGAATTTTGTGAATTTTGATTTTTTGCAAGCGAAAAAAAATGTTGAAGAGATTGCAAAGTAAAGGATATTTAATTAATGAAGGGATTTTGTTGGTCGTAAGCCGCAATCGGTGTTGTATTGCGTTTAATAGGTGACATTAATTTTTATTTCATTACGTGTTGCATACACAATATTAAAATTGCACAAAATATAACATTTCATACAGGTGACGACGACATGGTTTCGTATCGTATTGTGACATAATGTACAGTGAAGTTTGCGGTTTAATTTATTTATTAATTTACAATTTATGCATGAGTTCAATGAAGTCATATGTCATATGTTATATGTCATTTTAATTAATTGAAATAGTTTCAATGATGTCGAATTGTTGTTTAATTAATTTTGTTTTTATTTACATAATTCCAAACAAAGCAGCGTGAAAAATTCAAAGAAAAGAGAAAATATATGGGAAGAATGATTAGAGCAATACTGGCGCCAAATCATGTTTCACATTTTAAAATATTTTTGCAATTTGCCAATTTTTACGATCAAATCAAAAGGGATATGATATACAAATTTACATACTGTTGTACATAACATATTAAAATAAATGTTTACAATTTGGCTGACTAATTGCGGAAGAATATATATGTAGGCGTTATGTATATTTTGTTTTGGTTTGAAGAGGGTAACATTTCAGTATGTTATGTAAATAAATATTTATATACAAATGTATATATTTATAAAAATTCTTAAATTAAATATTTAATAATAAAAATAAAACACTAAAACTAAATCAAAACATTTTTAGAACACATGGATAATTTTTTAAATTTTTGAAATTTGTATAAATAATAATTAAAAATTATATAAAACTAAATAAATACATTTCAAAAAAAAAATTAATAATTTATATTACAATTTTATAATAAAGTTTTTTATTATTCATAAAATTTTCTAATATTGTACAATTTTATATAAAATAAAAATAATTTAAAATTAATACAACAATAGCTACCCCCTTAAATTAAATACAAAAAAAAAATTAAATATTATAAAAGTAATAATAAAAAATACATATAATATAATTTAAACTTCTATGTGAGGTTTGTTTTTATTTTTTTTTTTCATTATTAGGTATATGTATTATTTCTACAAAATATTTGAAGACTTTTTAAAACATTTTTGTTTGTTAGTAAAAAGTTGAATTTAAAAAAATTTGTGAATTTTTGGTGCTTCAAAAAACAGTTTTCTTGAATAAAATTGTAACTCAAGAGTTCGGAGAATTTTTAAAGCGAAAATAAATTTTAGATAAAAAAAATTCTAGCACTTACCGCCAGTTGTACGCTGCATCACTGGTGATTGACGTTGTATCTGTGGTTCTGCAGGTGGTTCCAATATGTCTCTGTACTTTGAGACCATCAGAACAGAAATAAAATAAACAATTGCTAGTGAAAGGAATTGAGCCTGTTTTGTTTCCTCCTAATAAATAGAAATAAAACGAAAGTGAAATATAAACAAAATTGAATACACACAAATATATATAAAAGAAAGAAAAACTATGTACAAGTTAGGAGGTCTTGAAATAAATATGGAAAAAATGGAAGTTATAATTATGCAAAGAATTGATAAATATTTTTTCCTAAGGCTATAGACAGTGGTACAAATGTAGACGTAACACTGATATAACTACAGTAATATTTGCTTCTGTACAACTCAGAAATATCTGGAATTTTACCTTTCCGTTATTAGCAAAGGAGAACTAGATATATAATTTCAATGTGTCATCAGTGCTTCCCTACCAATGTGCAAACTAGTTGATCAGAGACATATTACTTCGCAAACGACAAATATTATCTTGAATGATTCCTAAAAAGTAAGTGACCAAATAGTAAAAAATCTTGATTTTAATATATTACAATATAATTTAGTAGCCCATATAATCAGCTACCACAAATGCGAATACTCAGAGAAAGCCACCTCATAAAATTTGTCTGCAAACACTAAAATTCTCAGAAAAATAGAAGAGGAATACTAAAAATTACTCAGTACTGTCTGAGAGGAAAAGAAGAGACAAGCGCTTATGACCTCGTTTTCATTCTCCTTAAGGTGCTAAAAGAACGGAAGATGTTGTAGCTTAATTTAATCAAAATTGCTAGTACTCATTGCGATTTTATTATAATATTATTTAATTCAAGGAAAAGTGCTTACTAATAGCATCAAAAAATGTTCAAAAGTATTGTTATATTCAAAAGTTTTTAAAGCAAATCTTTGTGATTTATTATAGGCATGATTGCACTCCCAAAAACCATGTCGATTATGCTAAACTATTATATTAAAACTTTTAAATTTTTATATTAAAAATAAATAAAATTTAAAAGACATCTGATCACTACTCACCACATCACGGTATATAACCGCTCTCAAACGATTAACGTCCATATCCTGTAATAATTTCTCCGGATCCTTGACTGGGGATAATTGACCTGTTATTGACTCAACAATATTCTGCAAGAAAAAATTAAAAATATGCAAATAACATAAATAAAATATGTAATAACAGAACACATGTAGAAGGGGGGAAATGACAACTTCTGACTAAGACAATTTTCTTAGTTTTCTTCGTTAGATAATCGTACTTAAAACCAATTACGTCATTCAAAGGGCAATTATATGCAAGTTTACTTCACTTAATGTTGACTTGATTTTAACTTTACATTCGCTTATGCTCAGCTGCGTTTGCTAACAGCTTTCGAATGGAATTTTCAATTGGGGATTTAACAATAGAATCACAGTTGAGAAGTATTACAAATGCACAGGTTTAAGTATATAAATTGTTATTGCGAAATTACAGGGTTGCAGTTATGCATTAAGAGGTCGGTATCTAAACTCAACGTACTTCTTTCGCTTACACTTGAAAATCTTACCTTAGGCGAAGCTTGTGCACCACGTATCAGTGCTTGTAAATGTGCTGCTCCGGGCATATCACGCGTTATTGCACCAACAGTGTAACGACTACGTTCCTTGCATTCAAGACAGTTACGGACTGCGCACGTGCATACCAAACGCAGACATTGTCGCAATATTCCGCCACTGGACATATTCTTTTCAGCTTCCAGCTCGCCGAAATTTAATGAAGTCGCAAATATTAACACATCCGCCATATTGACGAGACGCTGTAGAAATGAAACGGCAACTTCAAGCGGCATGCCTTGCGTGGGTTCCAGTACATCGAGTTCAGACTTAAATAAAAAGAAATTTAAATAAAATGTAATTGAAATTAATTAGTTTTTCTTTCAAATAATTTTTATATTTACGAAAATTTTTAAATAATACTTACATTTGGAGATGTAGCACTCGCCAGTAGTGGCAATAAACCACCACAAGCGATTATCAAATTATCCGCCAGTTGCGATATCAAATGCACTGTGTTGACGACAAAAATAGCATTTTCGCTGGAGTTAACGAAATCCAAAACGCTCTTAGTCGAATGACTACGCCACACTTGTATGTCAGTTTCCAGTGAGAAGAGCACATCCGATAGCAAACGCTGATGTATATAGGACCACTTGAATTCTGGTATGCGGAAGGGTGGACGCGTGGGTCCGGGACTGAACATAGGTCGTGTTGAACCTGATTTTGAACGTTGTTGTTTGTTTTCTAAACAAAAAAAAAACATTCAAATTGAATTCTTGAAAAAGGAAAACTTCGCTTTTAATTTAAATCTTGAATTTTAGCGAAAAGTCTATGCTTTGCCAAGAGGCAATCCTATAATTGTGAGTTTAGGTCACATAAAAAGGATGTAAAACAAACTGTAAAGCCGTATTTTTTTATATTCTTCCCCTTTTTTCGAATTTCGTCAATGCGGCAAATTTTTAAAACTTGGACAGGACAATCCAAAGCAAAACGTAAACGAAATTTATATGAAGCGTAAATTTGCGGCATGTCAATAAAAACTGAAAAGTGCCATAAGCTGCACAGTTGCAATACTTCCATCGGGTGATGATTTGCGGATTCGCGAATTCTGAAGGCGAATGCGAGGGCGAGGGTGAGGGCGAGGGCAGGGCAACTGGTGCATCATTTGCTGTGTATTTAATTGAATGTGCTGTAAAACGTAGAATACTTTTTACAACCGACTATGCTGTCATTAATGTCAACCAAATTGCTGTGCATTTCAGCTGAGATTTTTATTACTCTTTTGGGTGCGCTTTATCTGCTGAAGCGTGGAAGGACGATAATAAACCAAGATAGTGCAGAGCAGTCACCATGAACAGACAAAAGGAAGCATTTAACATAAATATACTCGAATAGAAAAAAACTCCGTTTGACAAATGTAATCAAGGGAGTTCAGACGTAAACCTTATCCGCGCGCTGTAGTTATGCTGCTTTGCTGGTTTAAAAGCAAATAATTTAATAGAATTTTACGAGCGAATAGCAACAAATGTTACAGAGCACAACCAAAATTCATTGCTGTTAATGCAGTGGCAGAATAATGACGGTACTACTAGGGACATCAATTTTTTAACTGTTTGAATAATTAAGGAATCCATATAAGCTAAACTGCAGTGTGAATTAAATTTTTAAAATTAAATATAGTTTTCAAAACCTGTAAAGCTGCACAAAACAGCTTTCAACTGATTGAGAATATCACTAAAAACAATCTTTAATTATTTATAACTTCTGTTTCAGATATTCTGTTTAAATATTTTATAAATATTTCAATATAAATCATTCTATTAACTCACCAAAGTGATTATTTTCGACTTGTGTGCTCGCAGTCTGTTGCTGGCCATTACGATCCGTCGTCGCATCTGAATGTTCTTCTTGAAGTTCTTCTTGTGTGGTTTGGGTCTCTTCCTCTGTTTGTTGGACTATTTCGACAACTTGATTCATTTCCAAACCATTGCTGTCATTCGCATAGTTTTTCGGTGTAGTTTGTGTAGTGGAATCAACTTCTCTAACAAATGCTGGTTTGGCATCCAGTTCTGGGTTTACTATGCTTTCTGTTTCAATCAAATTTTCAGTTGGTTCTAACATTTCAGTTTCTTCTAATGTGATTGTTTCCACTACTGCTTTTTGCTCTTTCAAATCATTTATGGTGCAATCAACTAAGTTCTCTACTATAGTGTCAACTATATCTGTAACAACTTCTTTACTTTCATTGGCTTCGACTATATTCTCTACTTCAGTTTCTACTTTGTCAACATCGTTCAAAATACCTTCATCTGTAATATTATTTGTTTGCTCTAGTGCAGTTAATAGGACATCATCTACAATTTGCTTTGCTACTTCCTTTTCTGGCGCAGCAACAGCTTCCGCTGCTACGGTATCTGTATTACTTCCATCATTTTCTTTTATTTCATTATTATTTTTCTCCTTGATTTCATCTACAACTATCGCGTCTATTACACTGTCTATAACTGTATCTAATACATCTCTCACGACTGTTTCCACTTCCTTGATATCTGCATCGTCCTGAAGGTTTAGCAGATTGTCTTCCGTTATGGACGCACTTGATACTGTTGTTTCAGGGCTCATGGAGGTTATTTCTTCCGTTGTCTCAATTGTTGTAGAAAGGGACGAACTAACGTCCATTTCATCTTCTTTCGGCATATTGGCTATTATTGTTAACTCTGTACTTCTTTCGTTTGTGTTATTGTTGTTTAGCGTGTTCTCTTCATTTTGTGTTACTTCAGTCTTTTGTGTATCAATTACCGGTGTCTCTAATAGGGCGGTGGTATTATCGATTTCATTTTTGTTAGCTATAAGCTCTATAGTTTCTGTTACTTCATCGGTGTTGTTGTTCAGCAAGTTTTTACTATTCAAAAGGCTAACATTGTCGTTATCGTTTTGAGCAGTGTCGACTGCGGACGGCTCTTTTGATTGCTTCTTTTCATTTTTCAAAACACCTTGAACCACCTCGTTTACAGCCAGCTCGATTTCTTCATCCTTAAGCACTGAAGATGATTCTTGCAGTTCATCTGCAACTAATTTACAGTCTTGTAGTGCTTGCTCTGAAGTGCTCAGTACTTGTTTTATGTGCTCTTCGGCATCGAGGGTGTCTGTTAGAGTTGCTAGTTCTAGTTCTTCAATATCTTCATGTGCAATGTTTAAAGTCTGCTGTAGTGCTTCCTGCGGGCTTAGTTTGGTTGGAGAGCTTGTCGCACTCGTAGCAGTAGAGGTAGAGGAGGCATTACCATTGCAGTTAACTGCGGTAACTATGACTTCTGATTTAATGTGCTCATTATAGACATCAGATATATTTGATATTGTTGATTTCGTAGATTCCATCACTTTATTTTCCAGTTCAGTTTCTTTCTCTGGAACATTCTGTTTAACAGAGTCACTACTATTTTCATCAGTGCAGGCACATGTCACTCTTTTATGTTCCTCTTCTACCTCGTTCACTTCTTGTATGATTACCTCAGTATCTTCACCTTCAACTTCTTCTTCCACTGGTGGTACATCTTCTAATGAGGCAACTGAAATTGAGTCTTTAACGGCAGCAAGTTGTTGATGCTCTTTATGCTGGTGCTGCAGTTGATGTTGTTCCTCACGCTCCCAACCACTGATTGTGCTTATGGGGCGCGCTTGTCGCAATGCGGGATCTGTAATGTTGTCTGTGCGTTGTCGTTCGTAATGTTCATACATTTGCGCAAATTGTAGCTTGAATTCTTCATATGAAACTTTAGAATGTACTATCGCTAATGTATCTACCCAAACGCGCCAACCACCGTATTCATGCTTGATGGCATGATGCAGTAACATACGAAATAGAGAATATACCATGTCGGAGATCTTCTGTTCTTCTGTATTCTTGGGATGTATGTAGGCCATTGCTATCAGCCACTCTTGCCAAACTGACATCTGTAAGACAGTACGACGATTTTCACGATTACTATTACAAAGTAAAGTCATATCGGACAGGAAAAGCTTTTTCACATCGATGAGTGACTCTGTTTGTTTTGATTGACGTATAAGTGTAGCAACGACTTTCAAAATCACTGAAAGGTATAGAAGTAATAATATCGTTAGCATAGAAATATGAGCAACAGGATTTAAAAGAAAAATATTTAATAAAAATGTTAAAGCAAAAAGCTTTTAATATACCTATACTTGAAATCCCAAAAAGGACATTTTTATTTGTAGTTATGAGCTGAGTGTGTTACATTTTCATGTATAAACATGCTAAATTGTAAATTTCACTTACTTGGATTTTCTAAGCGATAGTGGGTCTCTGGTTCGGGATGTCGCGTATACAAAATTTGTTGTGATATATGTTCTGTCATAATTTCATAAAGCACATTGTATGTTGGCAATGACAAGGACTCTTCATACAGCAGCAGACGTTCAGCTAATAGCGTATATAAATTGTGCGGTGACATAACATCATACTTTCGTCTAATGGTGTAAAATAAATGGAGATGAAGGGTTAAAAAAAAATAGTTGATAAATTGTTGAGTATGTGTTTAAGAAGAAGAAGAAAAAGAAAAAAAGAACAAAGAAAAGGAACAGAGAAAAATCTATTCTTTATGGAATATGAGTTATTACTTACTTATGTGTGCTGCGGGATAAGAAGAAACCAAGTAATTTAAGAGCTTGTAAACGTATCAACTGGCTTTCGGCGGCCAATAACTTAAAAATACTTCTAACTCCATGTTTAACATCGAATGCAGGTACCATTGAACTGGGATGCTCAGACATAAGCGAAATTAACATTTGCAGAACATCGTGAAGATTTTCATCCTTTCAAAAAAAAAAAAAACATTTTTATGTTGTAAAATACAAAATAAAAATTAACATAAGTAATTAGTGAAATTTAATGTAGGGATTTAGAAAATCAATGATATAATTAATATATTACAGTTATTTGAGATTAATTTTCGAATGTTAAAGACATTTGTATAATCAACTATATAATTCCTAATGTTAGATATGATTGATGAAGTTTCTGTGCTTATATAACTTACTTTACACTCATCCTTGTTACATACATTTGTGATTTCACAACCCCAAGAACTATATCGTGTATATAAGAAGGTTGTATACAGAGTATTTATTTCTATACGAAATAAATCTGGTAGTACGGTTCAAGAAACATTGACGTACATTTGTAATTTCAATCTTAATAAAATAAAAATTACTTTTTATATTGTAAAAATTGAGAAGTCTAAATATTGTTAGATATCAACTGAAATTTCTATAGGAAAGCTTGACAATATTCACTACTCCTTATTTCAAATGGTTTGTTATTTTAACGTACTTTGTGTTTTATAGACTGTTCTATCTCATCGTTACTGAACTTTTATATACTAAATTTATTAAAAGTGATCATTTTTGTATTTATAAAGACTACAGACTTTTAAATGATAATTGCTTTAATTGTTATACACATATTATCTATACGAATAAATAATCTTCTTACCTCATGCATAGTTGTCAAATAATTTAAAATGCTTTGCAATTCATCCTCTTTGACACCATTACCAATCATGATCAATTGTTTTAGAAACAATAAAATATAAGCGCGTATTGCCAATATATCCTTTTGTGCGGGTCGAGGACCATCTATACCAAATTTAAAAAAATATGTACGATATGGAATCATTAGTATTTATTGCAATCCTCAGCTTTAACTTACCTAAACCTTTTGGTATGATGCCGCTCTTCGCGCGTGGATTCACAACCCAGTAATAATACTTGAGAGTATGCACTGTCTGGAGTACTGTACTAACACGTCGTACATTACTATAGATTTGTGTATCACTAAGGAACTCTGTGGCTAGATATGAGTAGAGTCGCGCCTGTACATTGGCTGGCGTATAAATCCACAAGGCCGGATTGAAGAGCACATGATCTAGCAACTGCCATGTGAGAAATGAGAAACAAAACAACTAAAATTAGCCAAGTAAAAACTGTTCTCAAACTGAAGTGACATTCTGATAAGCACATATATCTCAAAAGTATATATGTATAATATATATAAAGATAGATAAGGTTAAAGAACATTTAAAAATTCAATTATGTAAATTATTTAAACATTGGTATTAAATGATATTTATACATACATGTAATGATATTTGCAGGTTTATTTAACAAAGTAGTCGGGTAGGATGCACAATGCAAACGACAATTTTTTTTTTTTTGGATTTATTTTATAAAGTTGAAACAATCAAATTGCATAAATCGACGCATGCAGCAAACAGGAAACAGCAATTAACAAATTAAACGGAAATGAAAAAATTTTAAATAGAAAATATAAAATTACAAAAAAAGAACACAGGCAAAAGCCATTTATTAATTATTTTCAATTCTAATATAAAATACATCAATGCATATTATACTCGTATCAAATGCAACAGTTAATTAACTGTTAATATTAAACATTTATACATAATATGTATAATATGCATTTAATTAATTAAATAATAAATATTTCATTTTTATTTTAATGCGAATAAAAATAACGTCTGAGGGGAAAATGCATGACAATTTAAATGAATCAGGATTAAAATATTTATTTAAATTTGCTTACACTAAATAATATTACTTAAATATTAAATATTTATTATACACATAAACAATATAAACCAAATTATTTTTAATTTTTAATTATTAATTTAATACTCTACATGATTAACTTAAAAAATATTATTCGATTTTTTTCTATGCGAGCTTTTCTCATATCAAATGCAGCAGCGGAATTAGTAATTTTGGGTGTTACTTTCTATGCTAAGGTGAAGTACACAGACTCTAACTCTAATGAAAAGATTTATTCTTACTAAATACGATTTGATTTGACGCTCTAAAAGCGTGCAAAAGAAAAAGCTCTAATGAGTATTTTAAATCATTTAATCGGTTGTTTTTCAGGATCATAATGGAAGTCTTTTAAAGGACTCTTACGTCCACAAGCCATTTATCTCTCTTGGGCAAAAGTATTTTTCACATTAATCTTATTGACACAAGTAATAACTAATAGATGGCATTAATATAAGCAAACAGCTATTTTTAAAAACTTCTATTTATTTTGGATGACCTCAAATTTTCTCCATGAAATCTGACATGGATGGATATTGATAGTATTTGAAAGTCCAATCACGTTTGAGAGCGTTTTTCTTAGCAAATTATATGGATGTAATTTTACAATTTAATTTACTACTTGAATAATCTTTTTTTGCTAGTCAGTTTTAAAGGTAACGTTTTTAAATATTGTTTCGTTAACCTGCTTTCTGGCTAGGCATATGCATATGATATTATTTTTCCCTATAATATCTTTTAAGATATTTACCATAAATATCTTTTTAATTTGAATTGAAAAATTAAATTAAAGAAAGGTAACTCATACGCTATATAAAAAAAACGCAACACAATAGACCCGACAGTCGCAGGGTCTATCGTCCTATATTAATAATAAAAATATGAACAGACTTTGAAATAAAAATTAGTGGGGATGGATTTTAAAACAACTACTCAAAAGTAGTAAATCATTCTACTAGTATACTTTAGCTAACATTTTACTATATGTAGGAACTGTTGTATTAAAAACATTATAGGTATAACATTAAGCTGAGTTACTTAAACTATACTCCACGGAGTATATATTGTTTTGGAATACAATATGTACTTGCATTGCTCCGATAGAAGGTTGAATTGCTATATGTTTTGCAGTAAAAGGCTTCTTATTTGTTACAGTAGATTTACGAACGTAGCTTAGTAATAAGCTTTATAACAATATATATGTAGATATTGCTGATCCCTTATATAGCTACTACAAAACATTTTTTTACCAATTACGACCAGCTATTATAATAGTTTAAGCACAAATAGTTATGTTATGTTATGTTAAGCCTTTTTCGAGTTAGTTTGTTTTTAGATGGCTGGGGGTTTCTGCAGAGTCTCACCCATCCCACTGACAAATTAGAGTATTCCTCAAATAATAGTAATAGGTATTCAATTCATTTGAATCTTCTGATTAATATCTCATTGAAAAGGGGCAGCAATCAATAAACTTGGATTCAGAATGAATTCATTAAATTGTTAACCAATTAAAAGTAAAAATTTTTGTGTATTTTGTTTTAATATTAACACATATTTTTCTGTAAAAATTCAGTCGATTTAAGTTTAAAAAAAAGGCAATGAGCTCAGGTATTTTTTATTTTAAATGGAAACTTTTACTTTTGAAAGTTTTGCATTCGTTGAAAAAATTACTTCAAAAGTTCAGCAGCAACAATTGGAAAATTTCTCCGAAAAAAAACGCTTCCAATTAAAAATGTGTTAAACTTCAACAAAAAAATCATTACTTTTTATAAAAAAAAAGTGAATTGAATAATGTTTTCCTCTTTTTTTATTATTATTTATATATACAAAAATATTTGCTTCCTATAAAGTTGGAATTAAGGTTATTTCAATGAAAGGCGGAAAAAATGATATACACTTTTGGTAATTATTAAGTAAAGCAGCATTTTAATCCTATATGGATGAATGCAGGGAAAAATGCCACTGACATCCCGCTTATACGAGTTGATATGTGAAAAAGGATATGGCCTGGAATTATTATGTTTTTATTATGTATAAAATAGCGCTTTTGCTCGAAAATTGCGTATAAAGTAGCGTGCCTATAGGCAGGAAAAATATATCGTATTTAAAAGTATTAAAAAATGCATATGAAAAATATATAAAAGATATATAAAAAATAAATATATATATTGTAAAAAAATATCAAAGAAAAAAAAAGAGCATGAAGTTAAATGCATAATTTTAAACAGCCGTAAGCCTTATACATTAAATGCAAGTAAGACGAACGTTTTAATTAGCAAAATAATAATTAAGTTTTATACATTTTACACTCAAAGAAATTTACATTTAATACTAAAATTACAAGTACGAATTTAACGGCTAAAAGTAAATTTATACAATTTCAACTTTACAAATGTACAGTTTCATTTAAGTTAATTAAAAAACTTTAAATACAATCAATTACACTACATCAATATACGAGTATAGTTTAATTCAACTTTAATTCAATTCAACAGAAAGGATAACACTTTAAAAATTTTTGCACAAAACATAAAGTAGAATGTTTCATTTCTTCACCTGATAGAACTAGAATTTTTTAATTTTGTTTAGATTTTTATTCGAGTGTACAATGCATTATGCAGACACGTTTTGAGTAGATGAATTAGTAGTAGAATAGTAGTAGTAGTAGTAGGTTATATAGTGGAAATTGTAGTAGTAGTAGTAGTAGAAATGGTAGTAGAATCGTAGGCGAAGGATTATTTTTAGTATTATTTTGTATTTTAGTTTAAGTGCATAGATGAGGATTAAAAAAAAAGAAAAATTCGTAAAAAGTAGAAGAAAATTTCAATTAGTTTTCAATACTATTACAAAACTTATTTACTTATACAAAAAACTTTGATTTCTATTTAATTAATTTCAATATATATAAAATGAAACTTTGATACTGAAAAAAATGCTAAGCTTAAAAAATGAGAATTACATGCAAAAGGATTAATTATTGGAAAATAAAAAATAAAGCACAAAATAAGTAAAATTAATGAAATTAGCATATTGAAGTTACAAAAATATTAAAGAATATGATTATATGGTTTCATTAAAAAAATATATGAAATGTATTAAAAACATTCTTCATAATTAATTTTTAAGTTAAAAATAATTTCATGTAATTATTTTTTTCTGTTTAATGAAAAATTATTTTAAAATTAAATGGAAGTTAAAATATTCATATAAAAAATTCAGTTGCATTTAAATAATGAAGATTTAAATAAATATGGGTTTTTTGCAAATGTATTATGCATAGTAATACTATTATAAATCAAATATTTTAGATAGACCTATGTTATGACAGTTATAATTGTTACACTTTTTGTGCGAAGCGCAAAAACGTACTATTAAATACTATTAATCATAGATCATAGAAATGGATCTATTCTCAGAGAATAACTTCCTTTCTGATCTTATTATCCAGTATACTATATTTCAACATGCAGTTCATTTTTCAGAAATATAATGCACTCACTACCATAATAGATTGAGTGATATCGAAAAAGTATCTAGGTTTTTTTGATATATTTTTAAACAAAAACCATCTCTATTAGAAATCAACTTTTATCAAGTATTTATCGACCAATCGATTTTAATTCCCTACCATAATATATTGTATACTCTGTTATTTTTCCAATATTAAGAAAAATAAGACAATAATATTATATGATTATAACATAAACACTGTTGTCGATCGTGTCTGAGATAGACAGCATTATGATTTAAATATAATATTCATTATTGAAATCATTCAATTTTTTCATATCTTATCCAAGAAAATTATATGAAACATTAATTATTAATATTTTAGAGATCATTAACATCTGATATACAATAATTAAAAGAATTTTAAGAATATTCAGAATCACCAATTAAATGCTACAACTTTCTCATCAGAAAGTACATAAGCTCAATGCTGTAAGGCAGTATAACTTAAGCAATGTTAGATCAGTAGGCATGTGATCTATATTCAATATAGATATAGACGATACAGTATTTAATAATTCATATATAAAGAGTTGTGATTGAACAGTACAAGAATCCAATACACTGTGAATTTATAATTTGCTTTTTACATTCTAACACTCACTATTCTAGCTAAGTCTTAAATTTTAGCTTAAAATTAAATTTGAGGAAATGCTAAAAAACGGATATTTAATAAAAACAACGGCCAGTTTATTGTTATTTTCATATTCTAACAAATAACTTGTAAAGTCTGTATAAATACTCTCAATGTTGAAACAACATTTTTCCAATTTTCATATCTCTTCTTTCCGATTACCATTGCAATAGATTCGAACAACTAACCCACTAAACTTAAAGTCTTGTAGGACTGTCATGCATGAGTTTTAAACATATCTTTATATAGAATTTTTGTGTTTTTATCCGATGGGGAATACTATGCACCACAACTGAGATAATAATACCTTTTTTTGGGGAAATGGTATAATATGAATTGTTTCAGATATGATATATAGTATTTTATAATAGTTATTTTATTATTAATAATATTTATTTAAAAAATATTTAATAAAAGTTCATTAAAATTACCAAAAAGAGTTATAAGTTTTCAAATAATTAAAGTAAATAAATTCAAGAAAATACAAAAAATTTGAAATCGTTAAGTAAATAAATCATAAAATTTACTTTTTTGTATGTAAATCGCAAGCCCATGTTAAACTGCATACAAAAAAAAAATAAAAAGAAAAGAAATAATATTTTCAAATTAATCACTTAAATACTAAATTCAAAATTATTGTCATGCATTTTACTATATAAAAATAATTCAATTTTAATCGTTTTATATTAATTAGAGCAAATAATACTTAATTTTAAGCTACAATTGACAATTGACACTTGATTATTTTTATAATTAATAATTTTACATCGTTTTACAAAATTTACATGCCATATTTATACTTAATTATATATTTTCGTATAACAATTTTGATAATTTAATGCATAGTAGTTTTCCTACATATAATTATAATTAATATGCATTGAGAAATTTCAATTGAGTTCTACGAAATTAATTTTATTTAGTAATTAAGAAATCAATTAATATTATCATAATTATATTAAAATAAAGTCCTTATTTGAATATTAAAAATTTCATGAATCTTATTTATTATCTTTTCAACTATTTTTATTTTAATTTTTTAAGGTTGTAAGTAAGGTTATTTCAATTTATTAAATTTTACATAAAACTCATTTTTCAAGGCATATTTTTTCATAAAAAGCAAAATATATTTTTACTTTATTAAAACATAAAACACAAATGTGAAAACTCTTAGCAAATATAAAATTCGGACTCACCTGCTTCAACAGCAAATCACTATTCGTGGACAGACATGTCACTAAATATTTTGTTAAATTCAGAAAGGAGCCTAAAACCTCGAGCGTCAGATGTTCTCGTGAGGAGCGCTGCAGCATAAAGGATATTACCAAGAAACCACGATTCTGTATCATGTGTTGTTGCACAGTCTGTGATGTTTCCACCAATTCACAGATGAAACCCAGCAGCTTAGAACTGTGAAAGTGGAAAAGCAGAAAAGTTGTAAAATGCAATATAAAGCACACAATTACTTGAAAAGGAAATGCAATTGAAATGGCAGAAGAAAGCGCAAAGTGTTTGCAAGCATTTTCCAAAGGAAAATCATAAAATGTAATATAAAATTTATAAATAATTTTCAAAAGTGCACAAAGATACGCAATTCTGACTTAGTTTTCAAATGTTTGGGGAAAATTGCTAAAGTAACTAAAACTAAAAAATATAAAAATTTCACGAAAGTGTAGTCGCACGTAGAAGCTTTTCTGCGATGCACATGCACTCTTATACGTTTTTCCCTTCACTTTTGTTTTTGTTGGAAAATATGAAATAATGCACACGTCACAGCATTTTCCTAGCGCTTAAGGGGGAAAACATATGCGAACAACTTGGCGAAAAATTACTACATAGTTACTTAGACAGGAAAAAAAAGCACACAACAAAATAGAAAAAATTCTTAGCAAAATAAAAATAAAAGTTTTAAAATGTTAATAACAATTTCCAAGCAACAAAAAATAAAACGCATAATGCGTCTCTAGTTGCATTCAAAAGACTTTAGATCGACACAACTGTGCGTATGAGTAACTTTTTTAATTTTACACAAGTTCTATCCAAGCACATTTCCACAGAGTTTATGCGTTACACACACATTTGGAGTATATGTTGACATATGTACACTATGAAAATTAAGATAATTCTTGTATTATGTATATAGTATGAAGACTAAACTAGTTTTATTTATACGAGGAAACGAAAATACTTCAAACTTTTTTATTAAAATTTATTTTGATTTACGTTATTAGTTGTACTTATATTTTTGTTATAAATTTAATACAATATTTGCGTGTCAGAAGTGCACTTTTAAAATTCTTTTAAGCCCTTTTTCAGTTAACTTTATTTCGAAAAGAAAAACTTTGCACTTTCTTCTTTGTAATAAACACAAAAAGGAAAAATATCGCTGTAAAAATGTAAAGAAAACCTTGTACTTTGAACTTACCACAGACTTGGATCACGTTTGATATCGCTGATGCCCTCATGCGCCATATCCAATTGTGAAAATAACGGAAAGAGCACTTGTATACCACCAATGGAATTTAGTGTGCAGTGTATTGAATGTGTAACAACAGCCTTAACATCCTGTTGTTGTTGTTCCGAAAATACAGGATTGGAAAAAAGACGAGGACGAGAAAAGAAAAATTAACAACTTTTTATTTCTCAAGTAACATGAAACTCTTTAAAGTTACTAAAGTAATGCAAATAGAATTTTATAGTTTCTAGTTTTTAAGAGGCATCAAATAAAGCATTATATTTATTTTAACTTACAACATAAATTTTGTAAAATATCTGTCTGTTATACTACTACAACCATTGAAAACAAGTATCTATCTCAACTTTCCAAGTCGAGCACAAAATTCTCTTGGAAGAGTTAGCGTGCTCATATATATAAACTAAGGTACGAGTATCATAACTATGGAATGCATTACTTGAGCTTTTTACGTGCATTCAACTCCTAACTATTTACTATACCATATGCATATAATTCAATATAAATTCAATGAAACTATTATATACTCTGCATCATTTTTAGATAAATCTATATTTGTATAGATAGTCAGTTCAAAATAGTGAAGTGGAGACGATATGGTTTCCATTAAAGAAATTAATTAACTATAATTCTTTCGTAATGGCATTATTTATTGCTGGAGTTTATTTCTTCCTTGTGCATAGAACCAAATCTAGAAATGTAATACGGAAAAAGCCATGCTAATATTGCTCAACGATTCGCTTCAGCGAAACTGGAATATCTTTTTTATTAATGTTATTTCCACTATAATTCTTTATAATAAAATTTTTAATCATAGACCAAAGATATACTTTAATACGTATAATGAGAAAGAATTGGGAACATATTAATTCGTTAATAGAGAAAAATGGAAAAACTGAAATATTTATGTCAAAAATAAAACATTTAATAGAACTCTATTCAGTATTAGGTTAGGTGTAATATTATTATTAGGTTGGGCGTATGTTCGTGTTTAATACCATCTGGAACATTTGAACTCTTAAGCACTGTAAGGCTCTCACATTAATGAGGCATTCTAATTATACTTTTAGATTTTTTCTGATTTATGGTAGGCTAGCTAGCATATGAAAGTTTAAGTATCTTTGAATTTTCCAATCTTTTATTAAAATACTCTCCACACAAAGATTTACAACAGTTTGCATGACTTGAGCGGTTAGTGCTCAAGTTTCGAATATAGCAAATGTATTCCTTAGCATATCTACTTCGGAGTTGCTTGCGGTATCCCTGCCATTAGAAAAGCAAAGAGAAGAAATCTTCCTGTTCTTCTCATCCTAAGATGTATTGCAATAAAATATCGACATGTCTTTCATATGCATTGAACTTAAAGACTTTAAAGCAGCTTTATTAGCTACTGATATATATATATATATCTTTTTTAATCAATATATTGTGTTATCCATTTCAAGACACGCTTTTGTTTCCCTTTCTTCTGTTCTGCTCTGTGTTAAATATAATTCTATGAGAGCAACAACAACAACAATTTTGTTTCCTCAACCAACTTTATAGTACTACAAACAATAACATATGTACCGTCCTCGTATACCCAAGCTACTCTAAATAATGTCCTTGTATTTTATTATTTATGTCAATTCGTAAGGTCCTTTTTATATTTTACTACGTATACAAAAGAGCTTCACATATATAGTTACATTTTTACTTACCTGTAACATAAGTGCATGCGGCGTATGTACAAAATATGAAACATTTCCTTTGGGGGATGACTGCAAACACAGTTGACCATCGGTTGCCACAGGATTGTACATGAAGACGATGGCATTCGATAGTTTGCCGTCGTACAATACCTTTTCCCGTAAAAATGTTGTCAAAAATGTTGACAAAGCATAACAAAATAAAGATAAAAAGAAGAAGAAAATATAAAAATTCAATTATGTGAAAAAATGGCTGTGAAATTTTTCTGTTAAAGTTTTTTTTTTTTGGCTGAGAAATATGTTTTATCAAATTTTTTATTTTGCGATACACAAAGCACAAACACATTATTTTACTACTTTTACTCTAATGACGAGTAGTGTTAATGTAAGGCACAGATTTGGTGAAAGCATAATTTTTATACACCCTCGAGGAAGTACACGTATGTTTACTTTTCCTCAGAATTTAATAAAGCAATAAGAAAATTTTTAAATATTTTAAAGAGGTCTAATAATAATAAAACAATAATAATAACAATAACTTTAAAAAACAAATAATTTGTGATAACAATTATAATAATTAATTTTAAATGGCGTTAATTGATTACTCAATTTATATTCCAGCATAAATTGTAAAGACCTTTGGGCACAGATTCTGTTTAAAACAGATTGTTCTGGGTAGTTTTTTAAACTATGCTTTATGTATACAGAGGTTTATCCTGAATTATTATGTTGAGGCTAGTTGAGTTAGTGCACTTGAGCATTTTTACTCGCTATTAACTGCGAGGTTTCTTCATAACACCTCTCTACGCCTCGACTGGATTATAGTTTACCACTTCATCAGACTAAGCAATAACTGAGATCTGCATACCTCCCCGAGGATCCTGTAACCATTCTGAGATTCGATAACGCGGTGTTGGTAAGTCTATCAGTTTTCGTAAATAATTTCAGGGCTATATCCTTTACGTTTATTTTGATCGGATTAATTTTGAGGTTTCTAAGTATGTCATTCGTCCTAATATACCATGGTACATGGTACATTGAAATGTCTTTACAGAGCATAAATTTTATACTTATAACAAAATTTTCATTGAAATTATCAATAACTATTAGAAAAAGTTATCTAACTTATACCAGCTACCACTAGATGGCGTCAATATTTTTTTTATGTGTGATCAACGTAATATTTCGTAACTGAATAATATCTGCATAACCGTGCCATATGGGAATATAGTCTGAAGCAAAAAGGGATCAACATAGTCTAATTGATACAGTTATATAAAAATTTTCATTTTTTTCCTTTTGTTTTATTTAAAAAAGTAGTGATTTTAGATAATATGTTATAAAGCTCTTCAAAGGCATATATATAGAATTAAAATTAAATATTTTATAAAGCAAATTGTACTGTTTTCTGAAACAACAATTCAAGTCTATATTTTAAGATTAAAGATTAATTTGGGGGTGCATAAGTATTCTATTGATCACATATCCTTTGAAATCGGGCGAATAGCTTATCACTAGATAAGCCCATTAGGAAATTATTATTGTTACATTGAAAACTCTCTCAAGTGGATGTTCATTATGAATCAAGTTATGTACGTCCAATGGTTAAATTGTTCTAAACAATGGTTAAAGAATTTAGTTTAACAAAATTTTTCATCTAAGAGGAGTATCCATTAAGGCAGTTTTCAGTGTATGTAGTATACATTTGTATGAAATATATATATTTTTATGTAATCTGTATTTCTATTTACATATAATCTTATATAAAAGCACATTATGCCATGAATATGACAAAAAGAGATTTTAGATAAGTGTTTATTTATAAAGCACAACAAATTCGGTGTTTTAATTAGCTGCTTTCAGTGGTGCATAAACCTCCATAGAATAGCCATAGAATAATAGAAAACATTGTTATTCGATTGAAATAATAGAAAAGCAAATAACATAAATTTAACAAAGGATAAAAAAAAAACAAAAAGAAACTGAAAAACATCAATTGGAGAACTAAATTTTGATAAAATGGTTTTATTTGTAGTTCGAATGCGTTTACATACGGAAACATGTTTATAATTAATTCGAATTTATATATATGTAGATGAGAGCTCAGAAACCTAAATCATAAACTTTACACAATTTCCAGCATTTTAGAGTTTTAAGTATTCAATTAGCGCAATCATAGTGCAAAATAGTGAAGGTGCATTATGAAGTACAGAATCGGACTATCGACGAGCTCGAAACCATAAATTTTGCCAACATGTGGACTACGAATATTTTTGCAAAACCAAAATATAAAATTTAAAAAATCAAAAACTGAAAATGTTTTTAATTGCAAGTAGAATTTTACGCTCTAATAATTCGATTAATTAAAAATTTAAAGCCATTGTAATGCACATAAGTGGATGGATATACAATATAAAATTGGAATTATGAACTCGGTGAAAGTATCTGCAAATCGAACTCTGTTTGAATTGATGTTGTTCAGAGCAAAGCAATGTACAAGCTCTCTTGTGTAGAACATTTGCACTTAATTAAGATAAAATTTTTAGTTTATGTACTAAACTGTTAAGTTCAACGTAAAAAATATTGATAATAAGATACTTAAATATATTAGTTGACGAGTATGATACGCATTAAACGAATTATTAAGACATTAAAAAAATATTATTTTGAAATTCATTTTGTAACATAAATATGAGGACAAAAATTATTACTTAAATAAATAATGAAATTAATAAAATAAATAATCAAAACTAAATAAAAAGCATGCTTACAGCTTTAAGCTGATTAATTTCTTCCGTTTCGCCGGCAAAACTTCTCGATAACTCGCCGCTGGCGTTGGATATCAATGAACTCCGTCTCAGTTGTTCTAAAGCAAATTAATAAACACAGGAAAGCAAACGGAAAATGTTGATAAAAGCGAATAAAAAAAGAAAAGAAAAACAAACAAAAATAAATTTAAAAATTAATAAAGTTTAAATAAAAAATGAACATCAAATAAATACCAAAGGACACATTTGCTGTGGGCAAATGACTTAAAGGATCAGTAACGACTTTAGTGCCTTCGCTAGTGACATTGCCTGTTGCACTTGCTGGTAATGTAGTTGGTGTAGTAGGTGTACTGGGAGTAGTAGCAGTAGTAGTAAGAGTAGTATTTGTATGTGCTTGTTTATCGACCACGCCCCCTAAGGCATTCAATACAGCATTTGTGGAAGCATTACGTGCTACTACAACAGCGCGTATCTTAGCAAATGTTGCATTCAGATCAAGCTTTTCATCTGCCCAATCGATGGCTTGAGCCTCTTGCTCTGCATGTGTACTGCTGATTTGACTCACCCTTTTATGATTGTCCGGCAGGTTCAGGTAGCACTCGTTGTCGAAGCGGAATTGTGACTAGAAGGATATAGTTGTGGTTTTTTTGGTTGTTTTTATGTAATTGCGTAGCACATGAAGATTAAAAATATTTTAAAAAAAAGTTTTTGGAAAAAAACATTTATTTTTTATTTGATTGTTTTTAGCGGTGTCATTGCGTTGATGTATTAGAAAGATGTGTGCGTAGCGTGTTTGATAAAAAAAAGTAAAAGAATAAAAAAAATGAATATAGTTCGAGAGTAACAACAATTGTGAACACACTGTTTTAATATATATATATACATTAAGACTGAAAAGTTTTCGGAAATTCTCATTTAAAATTCGCGCGCTGTATATTTTTCGATATTTTAAGTTTATGTAGTTTGGCAGCACTGTCCTTAATTACTATGCCAAAAATGAGCTCGATCTGTCAGACAGTTCGTTTACGGCAGCTGTTGAAACCAGTTCACCTCAGTAGTGCGTTGCGAAATGTCTTCGACGGTCGTACGACCGTCCTGGAAGGCTTTGTACCACTCATAAACTTGAGTTTTCGATAAAACTGATTCCCCATAAGCCTTTTGTAGCATTCGCAACGATTCTGCACACGAAATTTCGTTCGAAACACAAAATTTGATGCAAACTCTTTGTTCAATATTTTTTTCCATTGTTTTTTTCGCAACGCCCTACTGAGGTGAACTGGTTTCAACAGCTGCCGTAAACGAACTGTCTGACAGATCGCGCTCATTTTTGGCATAGTAATTAAGGACAGTGCTGCCAAACTACATAAACTTAAAATATCGAAAAATATACAGCGCGCGAATTTTAAATGAGAATTTCCGAAAACTTTTCGGTCTTAATGTATATATAGAAATCACATATATAATAAATATTTTACATTTAAAATATAAACAAAAAAAAAACAATTTACAATTGTGTTTTTAAAATTCAATGAAAATTTATTACTAAATGTTATTTAATGACACTTACCTTATATCCTGGCCCTAGGCGGTGCATAGCACAGATTTGATGCGCAGTCAGTGATTCACTGAATAGGTATATTGCTGACATTTGACCACAAAATACGCGTTCTTCATCCAATTCTGGCGTGGCACCAATATAACATTTATCAAATGGCTGTAAGAATAACATTGCTTATGTAAAGTACACTATAATAGATATAACACACGTAGAAGAAATGCTATCATGAACAAAATGTAGACGGTCAGAAAAAGATAAGCGTTATATATATGTTATATAGTAACATAGGTTACAAACATTTTTAATAATCTTTATTTTAGTTGATATTGTAGTAACATGTATAAACTCTTTAGAATAGTGATGTTCGGGTAATTTGAATATTCGGATCGAGACTCGAACACTTTAAACGTTCATTACAAAAGTTCTAACATATTCGAACTGCTTAAAGTTGTTTAAACTAAATAGACAACGAATGTGTTTTATGTTTTATTATATTTTTGTTTCATTTTAAGCAAACACTATAAGAGTAAATGCTTGAAAAACACTCGCTTCGATTACTTTCGAGCGGTTCAAATTATTCGAAAATATCGATGCCACTTATATCGATGCTTCGAAAAGATTGCGGAGTATTTACAGCACTATTTCAAAGCAATCATGTTCAAATAATCTCAAGCGACTCAGATATACTCGAACATTAACAACATGGAGGATTCAAAGAAGTCGTACAATTTTTACAGCATTTCTTCATCGTAGACACAAATAATAATTTGCATTTCTTAAAAGTTTAATTTAAAATTCAATTATCTCAAAGAAATCTTAATTATTTTAACATTATTTTAAAATTTAAACTACTTAAGTAAATAATTTATTAATTTGACTTACATCATTCGTTGAAACGAACCACGCCATTTCAGTACTGGACGCCATTTGTCCATTTACCAGGCACTTTATTTCGCTTTTTGTCCAACGATTATATATGTACACTATCGCAATCATATACCACTGTAGAAATAATAAAGGAATGAAGGAACGTATTTAAATAATTAATTATCAATTATTTTTATCTCGCAACTAAAAGCTTTAGTACTTATACTTAAGCGGAGACAACTTAAGAGCAAGGACATTCATTAAAAGCATCTCAAAAAAAAAAAAAACAAAAACTATTCGTTATAATTTCTTATTTATAGCAAATAAATTGATTTTCTTTCATTGCTCATTATAATTTAATTGATTTAATAAATATCCTTTGCATTGATAGTTCAATAGCAGCTCAATGATTACAAAACAGAAATAAGTATAGAATAAAGCATAAAAGTGCTTCACTTTTCATGTTAAAAAAGTCTTAAGTTCTACATTTATCATCGAGCACTTACCTTTCTTGGCTGGAACTCATATTTTACACAATGCTGAAATCCTTTGCCTTTGACTTTCATCGATGTGAGTACAAGGCAATTGCCAACAAAGTGGGCAGTGTAGCCAATCCCTTTCGATGTTTTAAAACTGTACCATAAAAATGCAAGGAAGGGGGAGAGACGGTGAAAGAGAGAGATGAAATGAAATTAAAATTAATGAGTTGCAAATACAAAATTTAAAGTTTTCACAAAAATTTCAAAGCAGCTGTGCTACGCTGCACTGAACTTACCAATAAAGGTATGGCTTCTCACGTTCGATATTCACAGAGTTAATTGGATCCAGGCGAAACCACGTCGTAAATGTAAAACCATTTTCGTATGGCCACTTAGCTAACGGCGGCAATACCATCGCCTGCAGAAGAAAGAAAATATTGTGTAAAAGAAACTCAAGTGAAGTGTACCGAGAGAAAAATGATATAGTGGAGCCAGAAAAATTTTTAATTGTATTTTGAAAATTTTTGCAAATTAAAACTAATGAGGCACTTTTCAAAATAAAAATGAGTTTTCAATCCCAAGTTTCCGGCGTACTCATTTTGTACGCCATGTTCGTTGTTGTAAGTTCGGAAAATCGAAAAATGGGCTGTGGTGATTTCAGAACTTTCATTAAAACTCACTTTATTGTTGGGAGTCATAACAACTTTCTGCAGGTTAATCATTTTGCTGTCATAATTAGTGCCGTCAGTACCGTCAGTAGGTTTGCCTCTTGCCACTAATTTGTGCCACGTCAACACTTGACAAAATTTGTTGCCAAAACTTTTGCTTCATATCTAAACTGGTTGCTAGGGTTGCCATGTGCACATTATCCTTTAAATAAAGTCGGTCTAACTGTGTATAGAATGTGGATATGTAAGGTGAAGTTGATTTTAGTTTTCTATGAGATTTAGCGTTTCGGTCAAAGTTTTAATATGAATTATAAATTAGTCAAAATACGGTGGAGTGGGCATTGTATCATAATGTTATTATGAACTCAGAAGTATTTTAAATAAACTATCTAGTTTTAATAAAATCAGAAAAAGTTCTTTTATAATCCATATTTTAAAAGAGCTGGATTACGATTTGAAATAATTTTACAAATTAGCTTACATGAGGCTTTCGAAAACTGAACGCATAACAAAATTTATAGAATATACATAAATTTAATGATAAGTCAACATAAATGATAAACTTGATATGGGTTTCATAAATTTTTTTACGTATACTGGTTTAGCATAATTTGATTGGTGAGATGACTTTTCTATTTTAAAACTTTTTTAAAAAAAAAAAAATTTTTTTTAATAAAAAATTTCAATAGTCTTTTCTGTCTTTTTTATTATATGGTCTCATAAACACTTAAATTTCAAGCCTTAAAAAACTAATCATATGAATGAGAATTACTATTTTTTGTGAAATATATATACAAAAAAAAATTTCCGTTATGCTTTAAGTTTTAATTCCCCACCAATAAAAAATATAAAACTTCGTAAACTATTTTAGAAATAAAAAACGTAGGAAAATAAAGACGATTTCAGACAATCGTAGATCAAAGTAAAAAATAAGGCCAAAATTTTCCTCCTAATTGATCAAGTAACTAGTGCCTATGCTGCAAAATCAGTAATTGGAATTAACTGCATTGAAAAAAGGAAAAAACGTTTTTGGTTTGTTAAATTCTGAAGAAAGTTCAAGATATCCTCCAGTCGATTCAAAAAAATCTAATAAAAGGCTTGCTAGATAAAGGCGCAGGCATAAACTATAGTTATCAGTTATTTTCTATATATGGATATTTATATACAATTAAGTCTAAATACAAGAATTAATTAAGAGCAAGAATTAAGTGTGAAACTGAGACAATTTGTGTCAAACCTTAATAAATCTGGTCATCCACAAATCTATATAGAACTAGAGAAATAATTTCAATAGGACTGAAGTCAGCAACATAATTTTCCTTCTGATTGCTTAATAGGCAGTGATACACAAAAACTTAGTGGCGTCTGCCAAATGGTACATAAAGTTTTATCAAGCTTTAGTCTATTATATAAATATCTAGACTTAGTAAGAAGCAGGGCTACTACTTTTGCAAGAATCTTCATTGATTCTACATTCTTATCTCGAAGAACAATCAATATTTATTATTTTTTTTAGCGATAATTATATTATCGGAACAGAAAAATTTTGAATCAGGAATTCACGTATCATAAAAATTCTTTAGAAAAGAAACCACACTAAGGTTGATAAGATTGTTTTCTTTAATTTTTGAATAAAGTTTTAGCACTTAACATTAAATGATTAAGTTATAATTCACTAAATTAAATTTTAAGAATAATTACGTTAACAAACTTCTGTTGGATTTTTCCATTCCATTTTCCGAATTCTTTCATCTCATTCCTTCAATATTGAAGTATTTCTTCATAAACTCAAACTATCTTTATTAAGCTGGTTACTATCTTAAAAACTTTTACAAACTTCAAGAAATTTTACTAAAATGTTAACCATTTTCTGACCACAAAGAATATTTTCCATAGCAATTATTAGCTCATTTCTACCAACAATCAGAACATCGCACCACAACACATAATTTATAGTAAAAGTTTAACCAAAAAGGAATGCTTGCCTTTCTTTGCAGAAGCCACATTGAAGAATAAGAATCTCCAACTTTTGAATTTGTATTAAACTTATTTCCGATTTGTCGAAATTTATATAACAAGTTGTATTCTCAACTTCAGTCTAGTAAATGGGTTGCTTATGGGCACAGCAATGAAGAAAAAACGCACCAAGCAAAACGAAAATGAAAAACAAGTAAACGCCTTAAAATATGCAACATATGGCATAGGCACAGCAGTTACCAGACCATAGCGTACAAATGGGCATTGTTTCTAATAAAGTCGTAAATCAATTATGTTTTTATACGAATTTGTTGCTCGATGCTCAATGCTCGATGCTCGAGACGGTGTCTTAACTTGTATTGGTAACTGCAAATTGAAAGGAAATGAGAAAAATTGATTTATAGCGCCGTTTAGATCTCAGGAGTTTAGCTTGTCTAGTAAAATACCATAATAGTCATGATTGTGATTTTTTACCGCATTTAAATGAAAAATATTTCAATTTAGAAAGTTGCAAAAATATGAATACAAACCAGTCTCCTCCTTTTTGCTTTTAGGGAACATGTTTCACATTTTTACATTCCCCCTAGTGTTTTTGCAAAAGAGTTGCCAACCACAAAATAGCGAAAGTTTTAAGAAAAGTGATTTAACTTTTGATGATTTTGAATTTTAAGTTTAAATATTAATGTTGAACCAGTAATATATATTTGAAAAAAATTGGAAAAAATAAGACCGTGTAGGAAAATTATTTTTAGTTGCATTTAAATGGAGAGAAAGATATTCTAATATATTTTTAAACTCGCGCTGCAATACTCCTGCCCCTGAGGTTAGAGTAAAAATTTTACACATTTTAGTAGAAATATTTCCGCAAAAACGAGTGTGTAGTGTGTAGTGAATGGTGTAAATTTAAATTTTGCACAAATTATTGGCAAGTCTGTTACCAGTGTTTCACTTAAATTTTTACGAGAATAGTTGAGACTGCTCTAGAGAATTTCCGAAGGTGAGTGCGAGATAAAAATTTAGAAGTTTTAGAGAATTTTTCCATTAATGTTGAACTTACTACCCTTTGAGCAAAATGTACACCCGTGATAATAACAATTTGTGTGTATATTCAAGTGCTTCATAGAAGTCGGTTTTATAGAATGATTTCATAAACTATGTATGTCCAAAATATTACGCTGAAGTGTTATGCAAAATGAAGAAAGAAAAAGTGTACTGACGGCGAATTTTTTTTCAAACTCTTAATAAGTTTTCCAACTCTTGAATTGTGGCATATATATACTTTAATTTTTATGTATGTTTACTTATTGCATTTCATGTTTTATTACATTTTTATGGAGCACATTACGCCTGAAATTCGATTTCCTCGCGAAAATAATGCTCAATATAATAAAAGAAGAAATTTACTGAATGGACACAAATAAAGGCCCCACAACGGCATATGCCATATGTGTGTGTTGTAGTAGAATTGTGGCACATACTTCCCTAACCTTTCCATCTTGTAAGTTGTTTTGTATTAATAATGCAACAAGGCAATTCTCTGTACGATAATAAAACCGAGAAACATAAAATTGACGCTCCACGTTGATGTTGTAAAATATTTTAAGGTAAATATAAGTAAAACATGAATACTGCAGCACTCAAATGTACCACATCAACATACAAATATATATATATACGACTTAGAATATATAAAACGTACAAAAAGCAAACTCAATTTTTGCCTAACGAAATCATTATGTACCTCATATATTCATGAGAGAAAAAGGCAGTCAAGTTGTTGTAATTTTGTTGTTGCAACGGTAATAAAAAGCAAAATTATGGCACAAAGTTGTAAAAATACTCGTGCACATGTAAATAGAAGTCATATTACACTACCAGTAGAATTGTACAAGTACATACCGATCCTTTGCGTCCTGGAAAACTAAAGAACACATCTGGCCCATTTCTATGTGGCATTTGACGGAGTACATTCAGTAGTTTGGCGGAGTGACGTGGCCATTTGCCATTAAACGCCTTCATTGTGCCGAAGAGTAATTTTAGTTCTTTAACTGTTATGCTGTAGCTGGCCAAGACACCAAGCATCTCGATAAGCAAATCTGTAAGAAGAAATGAAATGTTACTTAAAATTTGAATTACGGAAGATGAAAAGGAAATATAAATAAATATTAAAATAATATGGGACAGTATACAGATAAGTATTTACATACAGGAGAAATTAAACTATATCCAATAATTTTATAGCTATGGTAATATGACACCACATAGTAACCGTTATAAGTAAAGTAGGTTGTAATGATAGCTTTTGTGTAAAGAACGTTTAGGAGCACACCATGGTACCGCTCCACAGTAGTTAGGTAGATTATTAGGACTGTGTTTGCATAAGCAATGCTTAGCAGCTTTCATGAAACCAAAGCATTAGGGAATGACAGAAGAAAAAATAAGGATAACCAACACCAACTGTAGTCAGGTTAAGATCCGACAAAATAAATTTAATTAGAATATTAAACTGACAAAATTGTGGATAGTTTACAAAGGTAAACTATCCATTTTTGGATATTTTGCTTTTTTCTTAATATTTAGCTCAATTTTTTCTTAATATTTAGCTTTAGCTCAACTTGAACTACAGTTTTCCATCTCGCTGATATGTAGAGTAAAAAGCTAGATGTGCTAAATCTCTGCAACTTTTTTGAGAAAGATGTCTCACTTTAAATATATGGTACCTCAAGCTTGTTACTTTGATGCTTCTATATATTGTTAATTAAGCTGGTTATAGAATTATATATATTGTTAAGTTTATCTGCATATATATCTTATGATTCAATACTTGTTATTAGAGACTCAGACTGAGTTAGTTAATAAGCCGTAAAAATTTTTTTACAAAGTCTACTCAGTTAGTCTTAAATAGAAAAATAATAAACTACATGATACTTCCCTCGGAGGAAGATAAATTGTTTTTGCTCATTTGAACAACATTCTAGACAAGATAAAGAAATCATTAATTCTCCTATACTTTACGTATGATAAAGTGCTTCTCTAATGGCTTTAAAATTTCATTCCAATATGCGGCCACTAAATTAAGTTATTTTAACAAGAACAAAATTTGTATAATCTGTTGGAAAAAGCAATTTATTAGCCTAACATGTTATAGGTAACATTACTGTTTGTAGAGTGCGAACATTGTCATCATATAGAGCCATTTTAATAAATTTTTTAAAAATACTTGTCCGAGTATTTAAAACAAAAACAAGTACGTGAAAACTTTAAGAAACTCAATCATGTTCAGCACATATGTACTTACATTAAATGTAATTGCACTTTACTATAATATGCACTTTTATGTGTTCTACTCCTTCTCCACTAGAGTCATGTTGAAGTTCAAAGTTAGTTGCTTGTTGGAGCATTCAAAAAATTGTCCATTAAAGTTCAATTCACAGTTTGCTGTCCAATTCGAAAAATCAGTTTATCGATATTTGAACTGTTATTTTTTTCATGTTGTTATACACTGAGAAAAATCTAGTAATATGGCGTGTAGAATGCATTTTAAGCATATCACGTATTTTTATTATTGCTACTTTATATGTGGCATTGTAAGAAGCTGGCTGGTACAATATATGACTAACTACATATTTATATATTTATTACAATATACATTTTATTTAAGTGAGAGAATCAAGTTATAGTTTTTGAGTATTTTGGTCACGTTTTGTAGAAAATCATCAGTGATGTAATAACAATGAGAAATAAATATGTGCCCAAAAGGTTGATTTACTCTTCAATATAAAGGAATAAAAACAATTTTTATTAATATGCAACTGATGAATATTTTTGTTAAATTAATGTTATTGTATTTATTGTATTATTCTTTGAGATAAAAGTATAATAACTAAGAATTATTTAAACTACAAAACAAAAATAAATCGTATATATATTGTTAAAATTGAATCAAATCAAATAAAATTATATTAAATCATATTATAATAAAAAATTCTATAAAAAAAATTCAGGAAACACCATTTTAACTTAATTTAAACACAGAAAATTATTATCAGTTCTTAATAAAAACTTTTTTTTATTAAATTGATTTCTATACCGCATTAACTGACATATTTTAAAAACTCTATAAACTATTTTATTATAAAATCAAATCTGAATCAAGTCAAACTAACGCAATCTTTCTTTTAAAAAGAGTTAGGAAACACCATTTTAATTTAATTTAAACTCAGAAAATTATTTTCAGTTCTTAATAAAAACTTTTTTTTTATTAAATTGATTTCTATGGCGCATTTAGTCACATATTTTAAAAATTCTAAGAACTGTTCTACTATATAATCAAGTCTGGATCAAGTCAAACTAACGCAATCTTATGGTAGAAAAATTTATTTTCGTTTGTTTTATCACATAATCCTTTGCCTCAAATTAAGCTACAGTCATTCAAATTAATTTCCTTCTCTACAGCCCAACATACGTTACAGGGATTTCTTTCAGCATCGACGTCGAGCGAAACTTTTATATCAATTTATCAAGGCACACACATACATACGCACGTACGTCACCATTGCACTGCTTTTATTGACTTCGTCGGCATATCATCTCTTCGCTCGAACGTACACAGACGTGCATGTGAGTATATAAACCGAATTTACTGTCCTCATTACGATGCCAATATGAGCGTTCACAATTAAAACAATGTAATATGGCGCAAACAAAATGAAGTTGCCACATGACAGCTTCTGTTGAAGTTAACTTGTTTATTTATTGTATTTGTATGTGTGAGTGTGTGCGTTTACAGCCATAAAGATTGGCAAGTCTTTGCACATATGCTAAATTAGCTGGTAGCAGGCAGGCAGGCGTGCATGGCTTCCGCTCTGTGTAGCTCTGTGTAGTTGTGGCATATGCCTCTACTTTTTATGAGCGCTTTTTGTGTTAAAAGCAAATTTTATGTCTATACGGATTTTAGTGATATTAGAGGGTTCGATAGAATATGATAACGTGTCTTATAGAATCTAATTTCAAAGCGTAAAAATTCAAATTTGAGCGAATCTACATTTGCCAGAAATGTTTCTTAGTGACTTATAGAAAAAATTATTTTATAACATTAAATTAAAGTTGAAAAAGATAAAGATATATTTTTTCTTACTATTGTTTTAAAAGTTAATTTAGTAATGACATTAACCTATACAAAAATACGCTTAACATGAGGTAGCATCATATGATTAATAAATAACAAACAAATAATTAAGGAATGTATAACTAATTAAAGTTGAGATCAGGATATTGCATTAGTAGTTATGATATGCAGGCCAATCATTGCATTTTTAGAAAAGTATTGAGCAGTCAACAAAAATAAAGGCGTTAATCTGTTTCGGGTTGCTTCATAGGTACTTTGTTTCGCTTTTTAGGTCATATTTTGTAATGACTGCAATGGAATTGATAAGATAGGCATTTGAGAATAGTGAAGAGATTCGCAAAGATTTAAAAGAAAATGTGTAGAGGGTCTTCCAAATTTTAGTGTTAATTGTTTAGGTGTGGCCAGTATAAATTTCAGTGAGATATCTATACAAGGTCAGTGATCTTGCACTGCCATCGAAAGAAAATTTGTTTTATCGGAAGTAATTGTGTACAACATCGACAGTTTCATCGGAAGTCAATGTGTATAACATTGACAGTTATTATACGGAAGGCAGTCTTCAATTGCTTTTCGTAACTATAATTTCTGTAGAAACTGTTCCCATCATTGAGTTTAGCTACATACCAATATTGTAGTTACTTTAATCGACTTATTTCACATTTACGGAACAGTTGCGAATCCCTTGTCTATGCAGAATATGTACCGGTCAAAAACCTCATTGGAGTTGCGAAATTTGTGAGAATATTGATTCAAAAAACATTTTGTAAACAGCTTTTTGTTTTGTTTTAAAGTAGTAATAAATTAAAATTTTATAAATTAGTATATAAAATACACTATATATCATTAGTATACGCATTAATGAGTTGTGCTTTTATACGTCGTTAGAGTGAATTATTCTTTTATAAATTTTGCAATTCTAAAATTTCTATAATATGTTTTTATACTAAAAAGAGCTGGCAAAATTCTTGGCAAGCAAAATTGAATAATACCATTGAGGAACGGCTACTTGGCTCGAATTCCAGACAAAGGATTTTAATGTAAAAATTGACAAATTACTTCGAATTAGCGTTATCACAACGCACACGTCTGTGTTAAATACGTGAATGAAAGCAATCCCACAAATTAAATAAATATTCAAATAATTCTGCCACTTGGTTTGATGTCTGTCTGTATATCTGACATGACAGCATATTTGTTCCGAGTCAACATTTTTGTCTTAACCACATTTTGGAAAGGCATGATCAACTTAACTCAATCAATAAGATTAACACTGGTTAAAACTATAAAAAATTTTGAACTAATTAGCCTAACTCTTGGAGTCTTTGGAACTCTCAGTTGTGCTATATATATAGCATAAATTGTAGTGGCAATCATAATATTAATTAATAAAAGTCACTTAAGAGTCATTAAACCAATATTATATTACATGCTAAAAACTCCCATGTCCTGTCAATCTCAAACTGCAATAAGGATTTCATTTCATTTACAAGAGCAATAAAATCGACTGTAATAATTTTTTATTTAATTTAAAATTCCTTTTACTCTTCTATTTGTCATTTTCTTTAACGTATTTTACACTTTACATGTGGTTTACCCAACTGACTAGTTAATTACACTTTTGTTTCTGTGACGCTGATTTTTCGGTTATGCCATGAGTCATGACCCCCTCGTACGCTGTCAGAGTTCAACTGGTTCAACTGGTTCAACTGGCTCAACTGCCATGGTGTCACTCATTTGTGTATACGATAAATTGAGCTGGTAAAACTTTGTGTGGATGATGAGCTCAATATGGAAAATGTCACGTTCGTCATTGTGAGTGTATGTGAGTGTATGTGAGTGCGTGTGTCATTGTTTGGTTGTGTAGTGTAAGTGCAGAATGCATACAGTGTGGGTTGGTATCAGTAAGTGAATGGAGGGGTGGGGTGTATGGGATTTTTGTACGAGTGCTAGTAGACAAATGAAATTTCTTTGGCTTGACAGTGTGCTTTCAAATTGGCAGCAGTTACACTTGACTGAGTGTTCGAGTCTGAAAAGTGTCATTGACTCAACAAAATCAAAGAGTGAAGAAGATTTGATATTGTCTCAGTAAAAATGTACTTTTGGCTGCAGTAAAAACATTTTAGTGTGTGGGGAATCCATTTAAATAGATTTAATTGCTGGATTAGAAAATGTGCGGATGAGAGTCTTTATACTGTTCGTTTCTGCCAGTAAGAATATTTAAATTATAATTAAATTAAGTGCAAAGTTACTGATTTGTAAATTAAAGCATAAAATATAACATATTTTTATCATATTGGATACATTTTTTTGTTAAAGAATTTCGTAATAATAGTAACAAGTATGTATGTTGATCCTTTTTTCGAGTCAGCGCAACTGTACACTTTTACTCTTTGATAGCTGAGGGTACTGCAGGGTCCCACCCATCTCATTGACTAATTTATGTATTGCCTATAAACTTTATGATTATTCAGTGATTGATCTAAGATCAGCGTACCTCACCTTGCGGAGAGTGATTACTCTAAGATTAGACAGTGGTAAGTAGGATAGCCTGCCTAATTTCGCATATAACTTCAGGGCTCTGTCTCTTATGTATATTTTTAATCGGGTCTATTCTAAGGTCTCTTAGCATGTCGTTTGTTCGGATGTACCATGGCACTTTGAAGAGCCGCACTTTGAGCAGTGTATGGTAGAATTAAAATAAGTCAATCAAAGTTCAGTATTTTCTTAACCAGTAAAAGTATTCTAATGAAATTCTTAATAAATATAGTTCTGAATTTCTTTTGAATGTATTTTAATACACCTACTGAAACCACTCCAAATATGGTCAACTTTTTCATTTTTTTAGATACTTAAAAAGAAATATAATATATAGGGAAATGGATTTGCTTGTACTAAATACTTTTATTATATTAAGAAGGTTTAGAAAGCTTATTGCAACACTCACCCTTTATAAAAATACTCATAAAATTGATGATTACTTGCAATTTTAAAAATTTTTAACTAAATTGAGATTTCTTAAAAATTGTACCAACTTTAAACCCTTACAACTTTTTTACTACTTATTCATCATAAAAATCTGATGACTTTTTATGTTTTTAAAGCTTAAGATATTATTATTAATTCTGCATAAAAAAATTTGAAGTTTTAATTAACAGTAAAATTTTATAAGTGAAAATGTATAAAAACTCATCCACTTTTTAATGGCTGTTTCAGTTCTATCTACGATGAATACTTCCATAAAATTTTTTTTAACATTAGCTAAATCTTAAACGTTTTTAAGAAATAAAAAATGGTCTTTCAAACTATATATATGGTCTATTTAGTATATATATTTCACTTGTCAGAAATTACTAAATAATTATGAAAAATATATTCTTAATATACCTCATTTATATTAATCATTAATAATAAGTAATAATATAACAATATTTAATATTTAATTAATATTTAATTTGTTTCTATTTCAAATTTCAGAGAAATCGATTGAAAAATAACACATTATGTTCAGGCGCACTCCCTATAGTATGCACCCTTAGTATCGGTAAGGGCCAAGTGGTTCTTTGTGTGTTTTACAAGAGCTAGATTAACCTACCCTAACTTATATATTATAAAATAGTTAATCAAATTTCGAATTTAATTTCTATCAGGATTGGAACTGTAACCTCTTATTCGGTTTTTTAAAGCCATCAATTTCTGTCCACTATAAATCAACATAAAAACTTTTTCTCTCTATCAGGTACCACTAAGGACTAAGTGATCTATGTGTTGCGAGCAACTAATCTACCAAATCTAATTTATATCATGAGTGAGTAAATCAATTTTTTACACAAGATTTCCTGTTATTGACTACTCTTGAGCTGTACAATAATCCATAATATCGAAAGTACTTTCAGTCTCAAAAAATTATATACGAGAATTATTTCCAAGACCACTGATGATGGGTATTTGGCAATACTCGAAACAGCTGCATGGTCAGCCGAAAACTCAATTAATTAAAATAATATAAAATGAAATTTTTTTGTTGTAGTTCACTACTTTTCGAAAAACCTCTTTATAAGTACTTTCATTTCAATTTTTTTTTTTCGTTAACATATTATATTAATAACCTTGTAAATGTTTAAAGATTTGAATGAAACCTAAATTTTTCTCTATTATTTTTCAAAAAATTAAATATTTAAAAAGCAATTTACAGTATCTCTTAAATATTTATAAATATGTATAAAAATAAAAAAAAAATTATTTTTTTTTTATTAAAAATATTTAAGTAAAAAATGCTTCATTTAATATCACTTTTTTTAATATAGACCTCATTAAGATAAATTTTGGAGGAAATGTAAACTTTTCATTTAAGCTTTAACTTCTCATAGGTATAAATTTTAAAAAATATAAGAAATAGAATCAATAAATTAAAGTTAAGAAGAACTTCTAACAAAGTTCTACAAAAGTAAACAAAAAAGTACCAAAAAAGAAGAAATCACATACCTGCCACAACCGTTTCCGAGCATTGCAGTCTCACAAGTACGTGCTCGATTAATCCAACGTCCGTGCATGCCTGTAAATTGCGAACACTCTTGCGTAAAATCGCAATAAACACACTCCAGATCTCAGCCTGTAAATAAATAAAACAGAAGAACGAGTATGAGAACGAGTATGAGAAAGAGAATGAGAAACTGAATACGTTAGAATAAAGTTAGCAATCAAGCATCACATCCAATACAATACGTATAAGCGTAGTATATGTACGTGTGTAGTTTAACATACGCAAACTCACACACTCACACACTTAAACAACAGTAATGTAAGAAGAAAATTGTTGTTCAAGAGAAATGTAAACAATCATGTAAATCAAAATAAAATGGAAAGAAAAGTAAGAAACTAATAAAATGAAATGGAATAAAACGAACGGCACTGCTCAAATGAACTCCAATACATTGAAAAAAGTTGGAAAACACAAAATAATTTGTTTGCTGCACATTTCTGTGTGTGTGTTTGCTTGACTTTTTCCTTTTCTTTTCTGCTTTTTTTTTTTTTGGCTTGGAATTGCTATTTCATACACACACACACATTCCCACCTATATATATATATATTAGACATTATTTACATTGATTTTGTTGTAATGAAAATTTAATTAAATTTAATGAGGGCGCAATTAAACAAAAGAAGAAAAAAAAGGAGCAGAAAATACTGATAAAGTATCTTTTACATAAGTAAAGTCATTTGCGTAACTTTGCTTGAGCAAATAAGAAAAAACCAACATGGCGGTTGAGAGGAGTGAGGGGAGTGCTTCAAATTTTAATTTAATTTCCTTTTTCGTTTATCTTTTACCATTTCGAAGCGTACTAAGTTGAAAAATGCCAGCTTGTCACCTGCTGTTTTGACTTGTTTACATAAAACATGTATCCTGTAGGTGTAGTGCTTCGCAGTAGCACTTAATTTGAGCAAGCACCCATACCCATCATCCTTCTCAATTCGAAGTAAAAAAAATATCAAAAATATCTGAGAATTTTAACATTTGTTGGTTTCAATTTATGTGACTTTCTACATGTAAAAAGAAATGCGATTATTTATGTTTCTTATAATGATTTTTTAATTTTAAGTGTTGCTTTTTTTTACATATAAGATATTTAGAACATATATTATCTTGTACTGAAAATAATTGTTGTTTGTTGTTGTTATAGCACGCAAAGATCAACTCGCGTAGTCCCTTTTGGGAGTGTTGAACGGCACTTGCCTGTCGAATTCGATAAGTGGCTCCTGGACGTGAACCCCACCGTACTTTTAGCTGTTTGCTTTAAAAATTTTTCAGCCTAACATTGATTTTATTTGTTTTTTCACTAATATTAATACCATGCCATTGTTATTATTTTTATTTTTTATTTCACGTCATAGTTTACATATTTCAGTTGCAAAGCAGACCTGAGTAAAAAGCAACAATGCAAATGCAAAATATATGTACCAAATAATAACAATGAATTTTGAATAAATACGATGTCATCTTAGGCATAACTGAATCGGTTTTGTATTTGTATTTATTCATATCATTTAATTTATTTAAGTTTAAGCTAAAAAACTGTGAAGAAGTATATATAAGAAGAGAAGCAAAATGGATTATATAGTGGCACCAACATTTATTTAGTTGGGTTAGAAACAGCAACAACAGCATTCTTTTTGAAATAAAATTGATCACATTTTCAATGTTCTTCTTATGTTTTAGAATTAAGAATTACATTTATTTATTATTTTATTTTTAAAATTTGTCAACTTTAATATTATATATTTTATATATAATATAATAATACAATCCAACATATTAGATATGCATTATCTAACTCAATTCGTTTTTAGTTGTGGATACTTTTCAAAATATTTTTTTCAAATCAATAAAGTCAACGAATCGAAATGTATATAAAAAGATGCAGACGGAAACATCTGCATGTGATGTTGCATCTGAAACAATAGTCGATGAAATAATTCCCAAAAAAATTATAACCATAAACCGATTCGTTACGATCATAGACAAAATGAAAAAATATAACCTCAAAAAAGCATAATTTCGAGGAACAATGAAACAAATAAACCTAAGCGAGGCTTGGGTATAAGCTAATCGAAGAAATTACCAATAGATAACCAACATAGGCTTGATTCACTGAAGTATTCGCCATAATTCAGAGGCAGAAACGATTTGCCATACGAGAGGGTTTATGTTAAGTCGATGTAAATCGGACAAGCTGTATTATATTGACATAGAATGAAGCATTTTAGCTTCAGCTTTAGCTTCGGTTTCTGTTTGTGGTTTCGTTTTAACTATATAAAACTTGTATTCTAACAGAGATAGTACTTTTTATTATTTAAAAAATTAATTAAATATTACTTAAAAAGAGAATAAAAAAAATATAGAATAAAAAGTTTATTGTCCTAATGCAGTTCACTTAATTTAATTTGTCAACTCAAAATATTTTCTTTAAGAGTCCCGTTGCCTTATTAACTTACTCCACTTTTTCGTGCATTTCCTTCCTTCACTCTTATTAATATTTTCTAAGTTTTTCTTTTTTGTGTATAATTCCCTAAGAGGTTTTTAAATTAAATTTCTGTTTTAGGCACACTTTTTGTCAATGTCTTACTTTATTATTTTTATTTGCTGTTATAATTTAAAAAAGGAAAAATTTATACAAAACTTAAGTTGAATTGACGCCGTTCCACTTTGTTGTAATAAAGGGAAAAGGCAAGGATAGAAGAAGCAGCGTGAGACTGCGGATTTCATTAAACAAGCACCAGAACCGGAAAAGGAGACAGCCGCCATTACAGCTCTGTAATAATAGGCTTTGTGTTATTTCCGTCATAACTGAATTGTAAATAAGAATTTTATACAAAAAATTATTCAAGCCGTAGTTGTATTTGTTGTAAATTTCTTAAAATATTTGGAATATTAATTTGCTTTTGTAATTTCAGTGGAGTAAAGGTTAAATTTTTGGGCAATTGCAGTTGGAGTGAATAATTTTCGATGTTATGTGATATCCAGTAAGAAGCACAGAAAATAGGCATAGCAATAAAGGAAAGGATAAAAAATATTAAATTAAATTCCTAATTAATTGGAATGCCATTATTTTTGATGAGCTCTGGTGTATTAAATATATCCTGATAAATTGTTCTTTAATATAAAATTGAAGAAAAAAGTGTATTTTTGATTTCATTTTATTTTTATTTTTAGAATTTCCAGTCGTTAAGTAATGACATTTTTTTACATTACTCTTTGTCGCTCTTTTGACTTTCCGTTTTTTTTTTTTTGGTTATTTAATCTATTTCCTGTCCTTGTATTCAACTTTATGGAATATATCGGAATCAATCTACACAGACAGCTTAAGCAATATCGAAATCGTCTACTTTAAATCGAATTTCAATAAATTTATTTTTTTTAAGGCATTTGCATTATTTACTTTTAATTTAAGTCTTTTACTTCCTATCTTCGTAGTACATTTATTTACATTTCTTAGTTTCTGGCTCCTATTTAGATCTTTGAGCTGCTATCGTTTTACTCTGGATTGCATTCAAATGCAATTTTTTACCCCTGTACCCCTGCTTCAGTATTGTGAAACTTCGTCTTCCTCTCTGCCTAGTACTCTGCGTAGAAAAAGAATATTCTCGTGCATTTCAAATAGGAAATCTGCTTTGACTGATACGGAAATTTACTGTTTAAGACTGCCAACGTTGGCAACAACATACGGCGCTGCCCGCAGGTTACTGCTTTATATTCTCCACTTACTGGCGCCTTCTGTTTCCTCTACTCTATTTTTTTTTATTGATACATGTCTGTGGATGTACACAAAGAAAGCAAATATGCAGTGAGAAGTGCTGGAAGTGCTGTGAAGTAGGAACCACAGCAGGCAAGTGGGGAAAATCACAGATACTCAAAATCTAATAAATTGCAAAATAGAATTTGTTAAATAAAATGCTGTGCATATTTGCACTAAGGGTAAAGGACTAAACGATGTGATTTATTTAAAATTTGCATAATGTCCTTTTAATAAATACGATGCAATAAAAATAGATAAAAACGTATAGAATAAAATGAAATGTAAAATTTTTGAATTACTTTAGGGAGGTGTATTAGATAAAAGCATATAAGTAGAGAAGGTATTATTTGTTGAGAGCAATAAACTTTTGAAGAGTTTAGGATTAAAAATAGTTTTCCATATTAATGGAAAGTATCTGATAGATTTTGAAACGAAAGTTTTTTTCTTAAATTCAGGAGCGTAATATAGTGAAATCTCTCTCAAAGGGTTGATTTCACAAGTAACCATCTTACTTAACTATGTAATGTTGCTACTTCCCATTTTATTTACATACAGAGTGAGTTTGTAATCGCAACAGATATAACGGCAGTTCGAGTAGACCGCAAAAAAGAGTGCTACTCTGCACAGTTAGAACAGTTTTCTCTGAGTCGTGGCAACTGACAGCCAAGCACGATCAGGCGTTAAAATAGATGAATTACAAGGAGTATCTACAAGGAGTACCTGTTTTCACTTGCCAAAATATACTTCATATGTGGTCGGGATTCTTCCGAAATTCTCCATGCTGCTTGAAACCATGAGGCGTAACTCCACTAAATTTCTTACTTTCTATCTTGAACAAGAGCCTGTCTACAAGCCACGCACCATGTTCGGAGTCGATATGACACCGAACATAGAGTTGACTCCAAGCTTAGACTTTCCTCAAGTTTGCAGCATTATAGAAACTGGCGCATCAAAGTCAAATCAAATTTAACCAATTTTGAACAATTAAATTCAAGCTGATCTGAGGTTCCACAATTCTCATATCTCAATTGCGTAATCGTCGTTCAAATAAAGGGAATCGATATAGCGGATATCTTTGCGAGAAAGGGTATCCTAGCGTATTTTACAGAAACACAAGCTTTTGGAATGATCTCTTCTTGTTTATCAGCATCAGTACTTTAGTGCTTAAATACGTTCCGATTAAGGGATTAATTTTCAAATGTTTTTATATTTAAATTTAAGGAATGAAGGAATGCACATTTGCATTTAAGTTAAAAAGGTGTTTATCTGTAATTCATCGGTTATACTTTCTATGAGTTATAAAAATATTTTTTTCCC